ACAATCTAATCTAAAGTGTGCATTTGAACGATTGGTTTTGTGACCTTTATTATCTTTGTCAGACAGTACTCCATGACAATCTAATCTAAACTGTGCATTTGAACGATTGGTTTTGTGACCTTTATTATCTTTGTCAGACAGTACTCCATGACAATCTAATGTAAAGTGTGCATTCTGTCTTTGGCTTTTTCTAGGTAAGATATTCAAATCAAAATCAAATCCAATTTTATTTGTCACATGCGCCGAATACAACAGTGAAATGCTTACTTACAAGCCCTTAACCAACAATGCAGTTTTAAGAAAGAATACCCTAAAAATAATATATATATATATATATATATATATATATATATATATATATAGTAACAAATCATTAAAGAGCATTATTTTATTTGTTAAAAAATATCTAAAAACCTGTTTTTGCTTTGTCATTATGGGGTATTGTGTGTAGATTGATGAGGGGGGGGGGGGGGGGGGGGGGACAATTTAATTAAAAAAACAATTTAATTCATAATGTCACATTTTTGGATGACTCATTATCTCGTTATTTGAGCATTATTTGGGCTCCCAAGTGGTGCAGCGGTCTTAAGGCACTGCATCTCAGTGCTTGAGGAGTCACTACAGACCCCCTGGTTCGATTCCAGGCTGTATCACAACCGGCCGTGATTGGGAGTCCCATAGGGCGGCGCACAATTGGCCCAGCGTCGTCCGGGTTTGGCCGGTATAGGCCGTCATTGTAAATAAGAATTTGTTCTTAACTGACTTGCCTAGTTAAATAAAGGTTACATATTTTTTTTTAAATAAAACCACAGATATTAACATACGGACAGATTCTTGCAGGATCACTCAGATATTTCTGTTTGTACTTGCAAATATCCCACCCACCAGGGCGTAATAAATTGCAGTCAGTCCTGCAGATGGCCAGAGGCAGAGATAAGCCATGCATTGTGATGTCCAAAGGAATTAGATAATATGGAAATGTTCACATTTACTGTAGACAGACCACCTGCAATGTATGCAAGCCTTGTAGACTATAACAGTATGTCTCTGCTTTAAACGAACAACAGCTGTAGAAGCTGACTAAATGTAAAAATGTAGAAGCTTTATGGGAAAGAGTACTACATTTGGTCTTTGTAAGCCGCAATAATTTGTTCACCATAAGATTTGTTCAAAATGTCAAGATTCTTAATTTACAGGTGTATGGAAAGTTGTGTATGCCCTTCTGGTGTCCTGTCCTCCCATAGCCTCTGGATCAGGGATGGATCACAGATGTCCTCCCATAGCCTCTAAATCAGGGATATACACGAGATGTCCTCGCATAGCCTCTGAATTATGTACAGTATATAAACTCATTATTCTCAGAGGCATTGTCCCCTTTGTGAGAACAGAAGCAAGCTTCCCTATATGGCCAGTAACAACCGTTACTACTGTTTGGTTTTACTTCTGATACTTCTGAAGTGCAATCTAATCCCACCAGTCCCAGACATAGGCAATGTCTGCATGTTCATTTAAGCGTTTTGTAGTGCATGCTCTGATGAATGTGGAACATCTGAATGTTGAAAAAAATGAAATCCACTGTGCACTAGGTATTTCTCACCTAGCTACCTCTAAGCTGCACACGCAGAAGGAGACAAATATGTTATATTTGAAGGTTTCAGTGAGGCTGGCTCTGTAAGCATCATCAGATTTGTACATGAATTTCATCCCTCATTGTTTAGAGCATTAGATTAGGTACCACTTTCACCAGCTGCAAAGATACTCTCACTATATTGTTGGTCTAATGCATGAATTCATAAACAATCTCTACACAGTAAGCCAATTCAAAGTTTCTTATGTATTTGTAGCTGCCCTGTGATGACCCTCTATAGAGACAAGTCATAGGGTTAGGTGGTAGGCCTCTATAGAGACAGGTCATAGGGTTAGGTGGTAGCCCTCTATAGAGACAGGTCATAGGGTTAGGTGGTAGGCCTCTATAGAGACAGGTCATAGGGTGAGGTGGTAGGCCTCTATAGAGACAGGTCATAGGGTTAGGTGGTAGGCCTCTATAGAGACAGGTCATAGGGTGAAGTGGTAGGCCTCTATAGAGACAGGTCATAGGGTTAGGTGGTAGGCCTCTATAGAGACAGGTCATAGGGTGAGGTGGTAGGCCTCTATAGAGACAGGTCATAGGGTTAGGTGGTAGGCCTCTATAGAGACAGGTCATAGGGTTAGGTGGTAGCCCTCTATAGAGACAGGTCATAGGGTTAGGTGGTAGGCCTCTATAGAGACAGGTCATAGGGTTAGGTGGTAGCCCTCTACAGAGACAGGTCATAGGGTTAGGTGGTAGCCCTCTATAGAGACAGGTCATAGGGTTAGGTGGTAGGTCTCTATAGAGACAGGTCATTGGGTTAGGTGGTAGGCCTCTATAGAGACAAGTCATGGGCAGAGCCGGCTCCAGGCATAAGCGACATAAGTGGTCGCTTAGGGCCCCCAGCCGCTAGGGGGCCCCCGACAAAAAAGTAAATAGGAATAATATTTTAGGAACTCAGTCGGGTTCTCAACCTACTATTGAGAGTTAGAATGGTAGAATACATAAGGTGCAATTTCTAAATGTGGTTGTACATCAGCAGTTTTCTCTTGTTATGTCAGTCACTGACAGTCACTCAATTAGCATGTCAGCAAAAACATTTTAGACTGGTAAGTTAGTCTATAGTGCCTTCAGAAAGTATTCATACCCCTTGACTTATTCCACATTTTGTTGTGTTACAGCCTGAATTCAAAATGGATTAAATATTTGTTTTCTCTCACCCATCTACACACAATACTCCCATAATGACAAAGTGAAAATATAGTTTTTAGAATTTTTTGCACATGTATTGAAAATAAAATGCAGAAATATTTTGACATTGAATGTTCCTGAATGGCCTAGTTACAGTTTTGACTTAAATCGCTTCCAAAGGTGATTCTAACATGTATTGACTCAGGGATGTGACACAATACATGTTAGAATCACCTTTGGCAGCAATTACAGCTGAGTCTTTCTACGTAAGTCTCTAAGAGCTTTGCACACCTGGATTGTACAATATTTGCACATTATTATTTTTTAAATTCTTCAAGCTCTGTCAAGTTGGTTGTTGATCTTTGCTAAACAGCCATTTTCAAGTCTTGACATAGATTTTCAAGCTGATTGTAAGTAAAAACTTTAACTAGGCCATACAGGAACATTAAATGTCGTCTTGGTAAGCAACTCCAGTGGATATTTGTACTTGTGTTTTAGATTATTGTCCTGCTGAAAGGTGAATTTGTCTCCCAATGTCTATTGGAAAGCAAACTGAACCAGGTTACACTCTAGGACTTTGCCTGTGCTTAGCTCTATTCCATTTTGTTTTATCCTAAAAAACTCCCTAGTCCTTGCCGATGACAAGCATACCCATAACATGATGCAGCCACCACCATGCTTGAAAATATGACGAGTGGTACTCAGTGATGTGTTGTTTTGGATTTGCCCCAACATAACGCTTTGTATTCATTTCTTTGCCACATTTTTTGCAGTTTTACTTTAGTGTCTTATCGCAAACAGGATGCATGTTTCAGAATATTTTATTCTGTACAGGCTTCCTTCTTTTCACTCTGTCATTTAGGTTAGTATTGTGGAGTAACTACAAAGTTGTTGATCCATCTTCAGTTTTCTCCTATCACAGCCATTAAACTCTTTAACTGTTTTAAAGTCACCATTGGCCTCATGGTGAAATCCCTGAGCGGCTTCCTTCCTCTCCAGCAACGGAGTTAGGAAGGACGCCTGTATCCTTATAGTGAATGGGTGTATTGATACAGCATCCAAAGTGTAATTAATAACTTCACCATGCTCAAAGGGATATTCAACATCTTTTTTTTTCTTGTTTTTACCCATCTACCAATGGGTAACCTTCTTTGCAAGGCATTGGGAAACCTTACTGGTCTTTGTGGTTGAGTCTGTGTTTGAAATTCACTCCTCGACTGAGGGACCTTACAGATAATTGTATGTGTGGGGTACATAGATGAGGTAGTAATTTAAAAATCATGTTAAACACTTACTGAGCACAGAGTGAGTCTATGCAACTTATTGTGTGACTTGTTAAGCAAATGTTTACTCCTGAACTTATTTAGTTTACTTCTGAACATAACAACGTATTTGAATACATATTGACTCAACAAATTTCAGCTTTTCATTTTTAATTAATTTGTAAAAATTTCTAAAAACATAATTCCACTTGGACTTTATTGGGTATTGTGTATAGGCCAGTGACACAACATCTCAATCCATCTTTACGCAATGGGTTATCCATTTCAATTGACTGATTTACCAACAAAATGTAACCCATGGGGAGTACAGGTTATATTACAGGCATCCTAAATTATGTAAACGTGGTTTGCCTTGTCAGCTTCTTATAACCATTTTATAAACACTACCACACGTTCACCTGTGATCTATGCATCCCTAACATTCCTAATGATGACAGATGAGACCTCAGCATTTCACTAGGCTTCATACCAACATTGCATGCTGCTCTCTGCAGTGTCCACCCTCGTTGATATGTGGATTAGCTGCTCTCTGTTGATCGAGAAGGGGAGTTCTCTACTTGACTACCAACGGTAAAAATCCTCTTTGATTGTGCGCGAAAAGAAGAATCCGAATGTTGGAGAGGAGGAGGAGAGCCCTCGCTCGCCTCACATTGCATCACTCACTGCTCGTGCTGATTCAGCGGTACGCAAGGGATAGCGGCGGGTGCTGAGGACACTCGCCAGAATCACTGCTGATTGGATGCCACTGTCAAATCAAAGCATTGCGCCGTAGCAAGGAAGGACAGACACTGCAGCGGTGTCAACAGTGACCAAATCGCAAAGGTTTTCCTGGTGGCTGTTTATCTGCCGTATAGGAAGTATGGATTAGAAGAGAGTGACTGGGAGGACGCTAAATCCCTTTTGTTGTGCGCTGATCTGGATTTAGGTAAACTGCCAGTGCAGATCTGAAGCAGGGCGCAATGGACACGAACATGCGGAAATTTACAGTTAGGAGATGGTTTTCTGTCTACCTTCGGAAGAAGTCACGGTCCAAAACCTCGAACCTCTGCAGATTAGAGGTTAGTATATTGTTGAGTATTGCTATTTTGTGTCACCTGTGTGCGTCCATAACGTAGAGTCATTATTTGCTAATGGTGTGATTCAGCTGCCACTGCTGTCACTCAATAATATTGTGGTAGGTTGTAGGATGTTTTGTGGAACCTTACCGGTGTTGTTTTGTTGTTATACCTGACATGATATTAGGCTACACTTGCCAGTTCAATTTCAGTATTTTGACAAGCTTTGTAACCTAACATTGCGCAACATTTTCATGCTTAAAAAATCATGTTGAATTTTGTATAGCGTGGTATTGCTGTGCCACAACAGCCTGAATCCGACAGATAGGCCTACAGGTGTTCCTGCACAAACATTTGCACTTGTCTTGTCTTACTAGCACTTACTTTTCTGATAGCTGCTTTTATTGAGGAACGTTTTACTTACTATGACTGTGATATGTTGTTGTCCGTACCTAGCTACCTTTAAATGAATTAAATCACGATACCTGAGTATGTTTCTTATAGACTATGCTACTATTACAAGCCAAATTATATTTTATGGACTAAGTTGCTTTGCTTGTTGAATACGTTCCCCGCCGCGTTCTGTTGTTTATAGCTATTTTTTTCATTTTGTACATTTAAAAAAGCCTAATATAGGCCTAATGCATTTTGGATTTGTTGTAGCTAGGCCTACTTGCACATTTGTTTATTAGGGAAATGTTTTGACTTTTATATGGGCTACTTTAATTGATTCTTGATGAATATAACTTATTTTTCCTCATGAGCTTTAGTTCAACAGTTAAACCCCATCAGAACCCAAAATATAAGCTTGTGTTACTCCATTGTTTGTAAACAATGTACCGTAATCAAAACTATCATTTTGATCTCATGGATGGTCAGTCCTTGCATTTAAAGCCCCATCTATGAATTTGAGAGAGGTTATATTTCTCCAGCCCCATTTCTTTACCCGCTTTGTTATTGTTTGAACTGCAGATTACCCTTTAAAATAATGTATTATTTATTAGATTTGGACTGAAATATTGAATCATGAAACCAAGAGAGCAGTAGACCTATTTCCAATGATCTTCACTTTATTCTGTAGGCCTAGTTTTACAATTCTAAGTTTCAGGTGAAAGAGGAATTGGAACAATAGACACACACATCCAACCCAACCACGACCCAACCACGACCCAACCACGACCCAATCACGACCCAACCACGACCCAACCACGACCCAACCACGACCCAACCACGACCCAATCACGACCCAGGGGATTGTAATCTTCACCTTTTGATTCACCACATTGCAAAGCTACCTGGACACGGTGCTGTTCAGCAGCCATGGTGCTGAATCTGCAATCAGTCTTTTGTCCAGTTGCGTTGATTGCGGTACTGTCCATGGTGCTGAATGTTGGCGCTGGTTAAAGGCACAACAAGGGATTCCCGCATAGTTAGATGCCTTCTAAAGTGGTGGAACCACATACAGTATATCCTATTAAATTACTATGGGTGGAACTCTGTACAATACTATACAATACCATACAATATACTTTATGGATCATTTACATGTAAATTCATTTTGCGAAGTTGACATACAAATACACAAAACAAATTCTCCATCCCAATTTAACCGCCCGCATGCCTATCCTCTTTTTCCATGTATTGTAGAAACTGTTTCTAGCCGCATTTAATTTTGTCCTTTCTTGCTGAGCTTTCAAATAACTTGCTGTTAAGATGACCAGTGTTGACATACTTGCCTCAGTGAATTCAAAATTAAGACCTCAGGTAAGCAGCTATTTTCTCTCAACAATATTGAGTTTTTATTGAGTTTAATTGCATTTGGCATTGTAGGACAAAGATTTTTTGCCAGATATCTGACCTTGGAGAAGAGTCATGGTTAGAGTGATGTGTACAATATCTGTAGCAGCCCTTGTTGCCTACTCACAACTTGTTTCTCTGTATAGCATGTTTCACTTGGCTTTTATGTACTCAGCAAATGTTTTCAGACTAGTTGGGTCCTAAGTGTTAGCTAATGGTACTGTTTGTGTAAACCAGGAATGTGGTTACGCACACCCGCGAGCAACTGTGGACCCTCATGATGAGTTTAGACTTTTTGTGGCCCCCACCCCCATCAAAGTTGCCCATCCCTGGTGTAAACATTGCTTGGGGGTTATAGATATGTCACTGCTTGTGACTGTTTGTGTTACAGAATGCTTCTATGTCTGTGTGCAGTTATCAGTAGCAATGAGATTCACTTTGACGGCTCTTTGTAATCCTTCCTGACTGTGTCATAGCAAGATGTGCAGACAGACCAGCCTCTCTGAGATAATATGTTCCCTCTAGACAGAGACGTCCTTTCAATGTCTACTTTTGATTTACATTTGGTTGAGTTTTCAACTAATGTGAATTCAACATGAAATCAACCAAAAATGTCATAATGTCATTGGATTTAGGTTAAATGTTGTGTGAAAAAAATACTAAATTCTCTTACGTTGATTACTTTTTGCAAATCCAATCAGTTTTACATCACATATAATTGTTTTGTTGAAATGACGTGGAAACAACGTTGATTCAACCAATTTTTGCCAAGTGGGTTGCCGTCATGTACCAAACCTCCATCCACATTACACTCTAGACATAATATTTCAAACTAGGTTATACCAAACATTTAGTCAGTCTAGAAGTCATCTGCAATACACTGAGGCATGCTAAGCATGATTAACTTACTGTACATACAAATAAATATATGGAGACAATATTCAAAACAATAGCTGATGGATTTAGATATAAGAGTGCTTATGACATCATGGGGTATGATTGCCTCATGAGTAATCCTGGCTGTATCAGGAATCGCACAAGAAATTGATTCTATTTAGCAAATCGCTAAGTGATTTTCATGATATTGTCATTGTCATTAATATATACTTTATTAGGATGAAGACACCCTTGAAGCTAGATATCATTAGTCATTAAGAAAGCATATTGTTTAGGCCTTAGACTAGGGTCTTTACAGATGTGTGACACTGACCAACTCAATCACTATTGAGCTACAGCATTTACCAGATGTTTTTATCCATATGGCCCATGCAGGAATCATACCTACAATTATTGTATTGCAAGCACTATGGTCCAACTGACTGAGCCATTTTGCCAAGTTTACCTTTTCAATCAAAGAGATTATTTCGAAATACACACCATCAACAGCTGTTGACCCAGATAATAAACCGTGGTGTTCAGGATACACTACGCAACATGTCACGCTGTCGTCCATGTTTATTGGCAAAGAGTAGTAGTTGGACAACGGTTGTTTATACTTTTGATTCAATAAGATAATCATCACTAGAGTTTATTTAACAAAATACTGTTTGGATACTGTAAAAACCTACAAGTACTACCTGGTAGACTCCCCTCACAGGTAGACTCCCCTCACAGGTAGACTCCCTTCACAGGTAGACTCCCCTCACAGGTAGACTCCCCTCACAGGTAGACTCCCTTCACAGGTAGACTCCCCTCACAGGTAGACTCCCCTCACAGGTAGACTCCCTTCACAGGTAGACTCCCTCACAGGTAGACTCCCTTCACAGGTAGACTCCCCTCACAGGTAGACTCCCTTCACAGGTAGACTCCCCTCACAGGTAGACTCCCCTCACAGGTAGACTCCCCTCACAGGTAGACTCCCTTCACAGGTAGACTCCCCTCACAGGTAGACTCCCCTCACAGGTAGACTCCCTTCACAGGTAGACTCCCTTCACAGGTAGACTCCCCTCACAGGTAGACTCCCCTCACAGGTAGACTCCCCTCACAGGTAGATGTTTCATTCTATTCCATTCTGTTCCGTTACAGTATTTTAGAATAGTGTGAAAGACTGCTATGAGGAACTGGGCCAAATCCTTGCTTGCTTTCTTGCTGATTTGTAGGAGTATTGTTGTTTTCTCTTCTTAATGTTTGTTTGATATTACGATAATAAAAGCAATTCTCTGAGGTCTAAAATGGTGTAGTTTGCTACCAATTATTCTAAATCAAATACAGGCCTATTTTGGAAAACAAAACAGATGCTTTAACTAGTATAAATAGATAGTGTGCTGGTTCATGTGGAATATCACTGCTTGGACAAGGCATCATGACTAATTGCAACCTGCGTTCTTTGTTGACTTTTAAACAGCAGAGTGTCGAGGTGTTGGAGGTTTGAAAAGGATGAAAGGTCCACTGTCTCTATGGAACTGACAGGTTGAATAGCCACAGATGGACTGGGAGCATTTCTAACCACATTGTTTCACTTATTTGCTTTTTATTTTCTAGAGCCCCCACAGAGGTCATCCTTAATCCATTGATTCTTGAATATCCACATGATACATTACTTTCTTCCTATTCAATGCTGTGTTTAACGTGGTGTAGTGGAGGAGAAGCAATAGATTCACATAAATCAGAAGAGACAAATCTGCATATTTGGATTTGAAAAGCATCCTTTTTATTCCATCCCAACGACGTATTGTATACAAAGGGTTATGTGACTGTTTGTTGTATTTGTATTTGTTTTGCTGTGAATGAGATAAGCCGGTTTTACCAGGCTCTCAGCTGTGTCAGCGTGACAGATTCTGCATCAATCAGCAACGGTCAGGGCAGGACTCTCACATGCTGTGGTCGGCACATTTCAGAGGCACGCCATGAAGACAGCATTAATAGCCAGAGTGCTCGCTCTACTGCCAGCCACACAGCCCCACTCACGCAAAACATGCTCACACTAATCTCCCCTGATATGAGGGGAACAGGATGGACTACTGGCTGGTTCTTATTATACCTCAGTGGTTCTGTGGCCAAGGTCACCCTCTGATTGTTAGCTTACAACAACTGTTTCAAATCGTCCTGTTGTTACCGGTTAACGTGGATATGTGTGGACATTGAGGATACTAAGGGCAGAGAGTTTGATAGCAATGTACATGTTCTATCCTCATAGTCATGCCTAGTTTCTTCTGATGACTCTGCTGTCATTATAGTTGACTAGTCTCTGTTGGCCCTGATAAAATGGGACTTCCCCGGGTTGGACATCTGTCTAAATCCCTCTCTCTGGCTCTCCCGGTGTCTCTGGAACAACATGGGTGTTCTCTCTATTCCTGTCATCACTTGATTGGTTTGATATGAGGGCCATCTGTTTCCCTGCAGGACGATGGCATCCTGAAAGAGATCGACATCAGCCAGCACACCAAAGAGGGATTTGAAAAGGCAGACCCCTCCCAGTTTGAGCTGCTGAAAGTGCTAGGCCAAGGCTCCTATGGAAAGGTAAGCATATACCTTGATTAAGATGTTTGGATCTACAGTATGTTATACCTACTCTGTTCTGTATGTGTACTAGGCATTTGTGACCCTTTCCCCTACTGTTCAATCTGACATTACTGTTACTGTTACAATCTGATATTCAGAATAATCTTTGTTGTTGTTGTGTATTTGTATTGTATTTGTTAGACATTCTACTGCACTGTTGGAGCTAGTAACACAAGCATTTCGCTGCACCTGCTATAACACCTGCAGATCTGTGTACACGACCAATACACTTTGATTTGATTTGATATTCATCTCATCCACAGGTGTTCCTGGTGAGAAAAATCAGAGGCTCTGACAGAGGACAGCTTTATGCCATGAAAGTGTTAAGGAAAGCAACACTAAAAGGTACTTATTATGTATGTTTTTCATCAGCCCAATCTTCCTAAGACCGATTATTACAATCAACAGACATGATCAGGGTATGATTGATTATTACAGTAAACAGACATGATTAGGGTATGATTGATTATTGTAGTAAACAGACATGATTAGGGTATGATTGATTATTACAGTAAACAGACATGATTAGGGTATGATTGATTATTGTAGTAAACAGACGTGATCAGGGTATGATTGATTATTACAGTAAACAGACATGATCAGGGTATGATTGATTATTGTAGTAAACAGACGTGATCAGGGTATGATTTATTATTACAGTAAACAGACATGATCAGGGTATGATTGATTATTGTAGTAAACAGACGTGATCAGGGTATGATTGATTATTACAGTAAACAGACATCATCGGGGTATGATTGATTATTACAGTAAACAGACATGATCAAGGTATGATTAATTATTACAATAAACAGACATGATAAGGGTATGATTGATTATTACAGTAAACAGACATGATCAGGGTATGATTTATTATTACAGTAAACATACATGATCTGGGTATGATTGATTATTACAGTAAACAGACATGATCAGTGTATGATTGATTATTACAGTAAACAAACATGATCAGGGTATGATTGATTATTACAGTAAATAGACATGATCAGGGTATGATTAGGGCAGCAACAGCCTAGCGGTTAAGAGTGTTGGGCCAGTAACCGAAAGGTCGCTGGTTCGAATCCCCGAGCCAACTAGGATAAAAATCTGTCGATGTGCCATTGAGCAAGGCATTTCAACTTAATTGCTCCTGTAAAGCACTCTGGATAAGAGCATCTGCTAAATGACCAAAATTGTAAATGATTGATTATTACAGTAAACAGACATGATCAGGGTATGATTGAAGTCCCTATCCAGACAAACTGTTTCTTTGGCATAAGTAAAAAAAAAAATCTTAAATTTCCTATACTCAACAAATCTAAGTCAAAAACATCCTCATTTTTTTTATCAGCTCAAAAAAATATAATGTAGCCTTTTGTCCCTGTCTCAGGAAATGGAGATGATGTCCTCCTTGCTTACATAATACAGGCACAGCTGCAGGAGTGTCCTCACTGCAAAGCAGAGAGCCATTGCAAGAGGAAGCTGGCATAATATTCTGCATTGCAGTACAGGTGCTTGAGGGGAGGCTCCCAGTGTTATGATTTTAACACAGAATCATTCATAAGGAAGTAGCTGACCTCCATTTCACAGGTGACATAGGAAGAAGGCTTAGGTAATACAGATAGATTAGTAGAAAGCAGCTGTCTATATTATACTATGATGTTCCCACTGCAGGACCAGATAAGTGGCTGACTAGTGAGGGAGATGCCTTACTCATGCATGGTTGGGCAGTATCCAGGTTTTCATAGTTTCAACAGTTTTGACAGTATAGAAATTCAAACCTGAGGTATTTTATACAGTATCGTCGGATACCGGCCCAACTATAATGGTTTGAATATGTATAGCTTTTGTCAACATCTATTCAGTTCTACAAGTATCTTAATTCATTACCACTACTTTGATAAGCTTTGTCTGTTTTTCAGTCCGGGATCGGGTGCGTTCCAAAATGGAGAGAGATATTCTGGCTGAAGTCAACCACCCCTTCATAGTCAAACTCCATTACGGTGAGCTCATCCATGCTGACTGGCATACATACATAAAACAAACACTGAGACATGTCCAAACTGAAAACCCTGTTTTAAAACAGCCAAATAATTATGTGACCAGATTGTCTTTAGTTATCCGTTGTTAGAATGGGTCTGCCATCAGGCAGCAGGCAGAAACACGTTTTGATATCAAATGTAGTTGGTTCTTGCATTGAATAACTCTCCAAGCGTTTTATAAAGCTTGGCACGTTCCCTCTAAACATTTCAGTGACGTCTGGAGCCCTTCAGACAGCGAAAGCCATCATTCATCTCAAAGCACCTCACCTCCTTTTTTATTAGCATGCTCTGAGTATTGCCACAGCAGCCCCCGGGAAACAGAGAGTATTGCTCTGAGTATTGCCACAGCAGCCCCCGGGAAACAGAGAGTATTGCTCTGAGTATTGCCACAGCAGCCCCCGGCAAACAGAGAGTATTGCTCTGAGTATTGCCACAGCAGCCCCTGGCAAACAGAGAGTATTGCTCTGAGTATTGCCACAGCAGCCCCCGGCAAACAGAAAGTATTGCTCTGAGTATTGCCACAGCAGCCCCTGGCAAACAGAGAGTATTGCTCTGAGTATTGCCACAGCAGCCCCCGGCAAACAGAAAGTATTGCTCTGAGTATTGCCACAGCAGCCCCCGGCAAACAGAGAGTATTGCTCTGAGTATTGCCACAGCAGCCCCTGGCAAACAGAGAGTATTGCTCTGAGTATTGCCACAGCAGCCCCTGGCAAACATAGAGTATTGCTCTGAGTATTGCCACAGCAGCCCCTGGCAAACATAGAGTATTGCTCTGAGTATTGCCACAGCAGCCCCCGGCAAACATAGAGTATTGCTCTGAGTATTGCCACAGCAGCCCCCGGCAAACAGAGAGTATTGCTCTGAGTATTGCCACAGCAGCCCCCGGCAAACAGAGAGTATTGCTCTGAGTATTGCCACAGCAGCCCCCGGCAAACAGATGCACTCAACAAACCAGATAATAGGAATACTAGAGGAGAAGACCATATTATCTGTTTTTCAATTACATTTTTATCTCAAAATTATACCAGGAAAGAAAGATTTCCCTTGACACGCATGCCTTGAATCAGTACAACCTCTCACAAAAGTCTAATTCACATTTAGAGGGTTTTTCATTTTATTGCACATCATGTAACGAAGGAGAATATGTCTTTTGAGTGACCATTGTGATGTTGTTTTGGCCTAGCCTTTCAGACGGAAGGGAAGCTGTATCTGATCCTAGATTTCCTCCGAGGGGGAGACCTCTTCACACGGCTTTCCAAGGAGGTCAGTCATCATGTTACTCACTGTGAGGGCTTACTGCTCCCTAATTCACTGTTTTATTAATGCATTCAATCACCACATGCATATGATGTAGGGTGTCCAATCAAAAACACACCTGTTGACCAATGGGTAAATAACATGGCCAGAAAAAAAAAAAGTGGTAGAAAAACAGGAAAATAGCCTTGTGTTAGCTTGGCTGGATCCTGTGAAAGAATGAAGGCTAACTGACATGCTCAGGGTTGAACTCATCATCTTTCTTCTCGAATTCAGAGGACATAAAACAATATAGAGGTAAGATAGATATCAATTTTGAGACATTACGTATTATTTTCTTGGTGCGCATGTCCCTGCGATTGAATAGGTACAGTATATTTTGAGGTATTCTCAATTTGTGTGATTAAAGTTTTATTTAATTAGTCACCAATGAGCCAAAAGCCATGGTAATTTGGCTAATAGAGTAAAAACCCTTCCAACGTGTTATTTCTAAGTCATGGTCCTTGAACTATCTATAGATCGGGTTTTTTGCCTTTATTGACAACAACAACGACAACAAAGCACATTCAAAAAGAGCTGTAGACGAATGGCATTCTGCTCTGATGGCCAATTATATATGTTGAATGCCGAGCTATTGATGCACCATTGACAGTTCTCAGTACAGCGATTCATCATGCCACTTTGGGGCAGTCACTGTGCACCACGATGACCAATCTAAAAATGCCTCTCAGCCACCATCATAGTTAGCCTCGCTGTGAAGTGATTTCAGAGCTCGAGCCAAGTAGGTGTTTCATCCATCACGCATGCTCGCTCTACAACGCTTCAGCACTCATTCTGCGACTCAAAACATTAGGTCCGTCTTCCCCACTGATTCAATCAATATGTATAAACACCCTGCTATTGACAGGACCCTCTCAGGAATAGGTAAGGAGTGTAGCTTCATCAAACCATTTCCCCCAGTGATCAATAGCCTGGTCGATGTGTGTTTAATAGTGAATGGGCTGATGATTGGGCCTAACCACACTCCGAATGATATTGGTTTTGCCTTAATCTTGCTATTCAGCATCTCTGAATGTCCATGTATACAGAGTGAGTTGAAAGAAGAACTTCAGTAATAAACAGTGTAGTGTTTTCAAGAGCTTTCTTCCAGTGATCAACCCAGGTTTATTATTATGATTATTTTCGACCAGTCCTTTAATCTTGACAGTTCTCATGATCGTTCGCTCAACTTAATTGCCTGTTTGCGCCAGTGGGCCAGACCTCATCGCAGAAACAACCTCAGTCCCGATCAGTCAGATTACAATATCTCCTCTGTTCCGTTGATTCATTACTCCTGAATCCATGCACTAACCCAGGGGTAGTCAATCCATGGCCCACGAGCCCATTCAAACTGGCCCGCGGCGAGTTTGAGTAAAAAAAGATATATATATAAACAATATATTTGGGGGGGTTCAAAAACAATCCAGGCCACACTTGAAGGTCGAAAACTAGATAGAAAGTATGTAGAAATGATAATGGACCTATATATTTTCAAATAACTGCAGTTTTTCTGGCCCGCAAATTGATTTGCGTTGAATTTCGAAATCCCAAAGTGTCCCTTGAGTAAAAATTATTGCCCACCCCTGCACTAGGCCATAATGTAATACCGCTTATTATTAATAAATTATAGAGAACAATGCCTGTGACGGACTGGAGGAAAAACAAGCATTTTCTTTATTTTGCTTCCTTGCTTATCTCACTATCGATTCAGTGACTCATATTTCCAAACCTCTCCCAGAGTACCCCCAGCCATTCTGCTGATTTGATCAATTCCAACTAGCACAGTTGATGCACCTGGTCAACTAATCATCAAGCCTCTGAGCTAGTAAGCCTATTGGAATCAGATCATGTATAATGAACTGACTGGGGTACTTGAGGGGAGTTTTGCTCTACGAAATGATTAAGTGGATGGAGACCTTGATTATTATTGCAGAATAAAAAAACAACCTGCTGTCCGGATGATAGACTACCAACTTTGTAAACGCATTCATCCGTTCACCCATGATTCCTTAAACTACTGCCTCTCTGCTGTGTCATCGTGACTACTAACTGGAATAAAATTTGACTTAATCTGTAAACAACTTGTCTCTCTGGATTTAAAATTTGCTCTACTGGGCAGACAGACGTGGGAATTGAGATATGAATTAATTACTGCTGGTCTTGGAATCAGTCATCTGGAGCAAGCTAGCAGATGCCCGGATGCTGGCAGGATCTTGTTACTTTAACGGCAATTCAATTTTCTCCTTGGCACCGCAGGGTTTATTCCCCAAACTGATTCTATTTGGGAGCTAAATCAATCTTACTGTGGCTAAAATTAGCTCTGTAGTAAACAAGGAGAGAAGTCAACAATCCATGCTCTGACTGAGGAAACGTAGCAAAGGTTCTATGACATCCTAAATGCTAATATTTTGGGTGAGGTTCCAAGCAGCTGGCTTTGTGATCAAGTTAATGAGTTTCAATATGACTTCAATCTGTGGCTAGTGCTCTTGATTTCGTCAGGCTACCTGACATCGGAATAATGGAAAACTGTCTGTTAAATGTAATGTGTTTAAAAAACATACATTTAAAACACATGAATTTAAAACACATACATCTAAAACACATCAATGTAGGCTACTCTTGGGTTTAAAAAAAGATAGCTTTTATGTTCACAATCATATATCACATACTGTTTGCATATTGTCAATGACTCATCAACTGTTATTGGTATTTTCTCCTTTCTCCATTTGCAGGTGATGTTTACTGAAGAGGATGTGAAGTTCTATCTGGCTGAGCTGGCCTTGGCTTTAGATCACCTTCACAGTCTGGGAATAATCTACAGAGACCTCAAACCAGAGAAGTAAGACACTAGTACACTCACTGGCTGTACTGTGCCATACACTACTTCTCTATTCAAAGACCACCTCCATAGCTATTCTCTGCAGCTACAGTGGGGGGAAAAAAGTATTTAGTCAGCCACCAATTGTGCATGTTCTCCCACTTAAAAAGATGAGAGAGGCCTGTAATTTTCATCATAGGTACACGTCAACTATGACAGACAAATTGAGGAAAAAAAAATCCAGAAAATCAGATTGTAGGATTTTTAATGAATTTATTTGCAAATTATGGTGGAAAATAAGTATTTGGTCACCTACAAACAAGCAAGATTTCTGGCTCTCACAGACCTGTAACTTCTTCTTTAAGAGGCTCCTCTGTCCTCCACTCGTTACCTGTATTAATGGCACCTGTTTGAACTTGTTATCAGTATTAAAGACACCTGTCCACAACCTCAAACAGTCACACTCCAAACTCCACTATGGCCAAGACCAAAGAGCTGTCAAAGGACACCAGAAACAAAATTGTAGACCTGCACCAGGCTGGGAAGACTGAATCTGCAATAGGTAAGCAGCTTGGTTTGAAGAAATCAACTGTGGGAGCAATTATTAGGAAATGGAAGACATACAAGACCACTGATAATCTCCCTTGATCTGGGGCTCCACGCAAGATCTCACCCTGTGGGGTCAAAATGATCACAAGAACGGTGAGCAAAAATCCCAGAACCACACGGGGTGACCTAGTGAATGACCTGCAGAGAGCTGGGACCAAAGTAACAAAGCCTACCATCAGTAACACACTACGCTGCCAGGGACTCAAATCCTGCAGTGCAAGACGTGTCCCCCTGCTTAAGCCAGTACATGTCCAGGCCCGTCTGAAGTTTGCTAGAGTGCATTTGGATGATCCAGAAGAGGATTGGGAGAATGTCATATGGTCAGATGAAACCAAAATATAACTTTTTGGTAAAAACTCAACTCGTCGTGTTTGGAGGACAAAGAATGCTGAGTTGCATCCAAAGAACCTACTGTGAAGCATGGGGGTGGAAACATCATGCTTTGGGGCTGTTTTTCTGCAAAGGGACCAGGACGACTGATCCGTGTAAAGGAAAGAATGAATGGGGCCATGTATCGTGAGATTTTGAGTGAAAACCTCCTTCCATCAGCAAGGGCATTGAAGATTAAACGTGGCTGGGTCTTTCAGCATGACAATGATCCCAAACACACCGCCCGGGCAACGAAGGAGTGGCTTCGTAAGAAGCATTTCAAGGTCCTGGAGTGGCCTAGCCAGTCTCCAGATCTCAACCCCATAGAAAATCTTTGGAGGGAGTTGAAAGTCTGTGTTGCCCAGCGACAGCCCCAAAACATCACTGCTCTAGAGGAGATCTGCATGGAGGAATGGGCCAAAATACCAGCAACAGTGTGTGAAAACCTTGTGAAGACTTACAGAAAACGTTTGACCTGTGTCATTGCCAACAAAGGGTATATAAAAGTATTGAGAAACTTTTGTTATTGAACAAATACTTATTTTCCACCATAATTTGCAAATAAATTCATTAAAAATCCTACATTGTGATTTTCTGGAAATTTTTTCCTCATTTTGTCTGTCATAGTTGACGTGTACCTATGATGAAAATTACAGGCCTCTCTCATGTTTTTAAGTGGGAGAACTTGCACAATTGGTGGCTGACTAAATACTTTTTCTCCCACTGTATGTGGTCCTGTCTGGCGCAGTTGGTAAAGCATGGCCGCTGTGTTGAGCCGTACATAAAATGTATGCACACATGTCTAAATTGCTTTGGATAAAAGTGTCTGCTAAATGTCATATATTATACAGTTTTTACCCATATGAGCGCTCAAATACACTGTTTCTCAGAGACTTATGAATATTCTGATTGGGAATGACCAAGCACATAACTGTGTTGGATTACTGGAGCATCGACTGATTTGATATCATATAATACTGATCCAGGAGTTCAAACAAGGTTGCTGCTCCGTGTTGCTGCCTGCTCCGTGTCTATCAAAACAACTACAGGTCTCTGGTGCAATCAAGGCAGCATCTGTCTGTGTCTTTTCTATGAGCACATCCTTCTGTTGATTCTGAAAGGGCTATCAGAGGGCTTTTACAGTTGATTGAAATGTTTGACGGCCTCCAAATGCATCAAGATGTCTGGTCGTACAGTCAAAGAAACATTTAGGCCCTTGAGATGTGAAAAGTGTCCACTTTTCCATCAAGCTCCATTTTTCATTTTTTCCATGTTAACAATGTGGAATGCAGGACTAGTAAATTGGCTCTCAGGGGGATTTGATGAGAGGAAATAAATGAAGAGCTCTCAGCCTGCTCCTTGATTTCTCTCTCCAATGGGAATAATTGACATGTGAAGGTCTCGTGTCTTTGTCACGATCGTCGGATACAGAGGACCAAGGCGCAGCGTGGAAGGTGAACATATTTATTAAATAATGATTTCACAAACAAAACAACAAATCGATACGTGACGTCCAAAGGTGCAAAACACAAACCTACACAGGAACAAGATCCCACAAACACTGTGGGAAAACTGGCTGCTTAAGTATGGTTCCCAATCAGAGACAACAAGCAACAGCTGATACACGTTGCCTCTGATTGAGAACCACACTGGCCAACATAGAACTACAAAACTAGAACGAAAAACAAATGAAAACTCACACCCTGGCTCAACATACTAGAGTCCCCAGAGCCAGGGCGTGACAGTACCCCCCCCCCCAAAGGCGCGGACTCCGGCCGCGCCAACCAAACACCACAGGGGAGGGACCGGGTGGGCACTCCGCCTTGGCGGCGGATCCGGCTCCGGGCATGATTCCCACTCCCTCTCCAACCCCCCAAAGTACCCCTGGTCCAGTCTGACCCTGCTGGCCGGAGCTGGACTGAACACCGGTGGAGCGGATTGCTCTTGCTCCGGCGTGGAGCAGCTGACCGGTGCCGGACCAGGCACCGGTGGAACAGGCACGGGCTGTGCCGGACTGACGACGCACACCACTGGCTTGGTGTGGGGAGCAGGAACAGGCCGAACCGGGCTGACGATGCGCACCATAGGCTTGGTGCGTGGAGCTGGAACAGGCCGGGCCGGGCTGACGATGCGCACCATAGGCTTGGTGCGTGGAGCAGGAACAGGCCGGGCCGGGCTGACGACGCGCACCACAGGCTCGATGCGAGGAACAGGAACAGGCCGGACCGTACTGGGGACACACACCACTGGCCCTACGCAGGGATCAGGAACGGGCCGGACCGGACTGGTAACACACCCCAGTACCTCTCGCCGTGCCTCTACACTTTCCCTCTCCTCTGTGACCAGTGGCCCCCTTAACCTGGCGGCCTCCTCTGCAAACCCGCTGGACCGCTCTATCGCGGCCTCCTGCTGCCCCGTCGTCCACGGCGTGAGCCCCCCCCTAAACATTTTCTGGGGGTCTCTCCTCCCCGTGGGCCAGGCCCAGTCGAGGTTGATGTCCTTTAGCGATACCTCTGGCGCTGGCTCCTGGACACGCTGCTTGGTCCAGTGTTGGTGGGATCTTCTGTCACGATCGTCGGATACAGAGGACCAAGGCGCAGCGTGGAAGGTGAACATATTTATTAAATAATGATTACACGAACAAAACAACAAATCGATACGTGACGTCCAAAGGTGCAAAACACAAACCTACACAGGAACAAGATCCCACAAACACTGTGGGAAAACTGGCTGCTTAAGTATGGTTCCCAATCAGAGACAACAAGCAACAGCTGATACCCGTTGCCTCTGATTGAGAACCACACTGGCCAACATAGAACTACAAAACTAGAACGAAAAACAAATGAAAACTCACACCCTGGCTCAACATACTAGAGTCCCCAGAGCCAGGGCGTGACAGTCTTTACAGGTTTCAATTTTTCCTGTACTGGTCCCCCATGGGAATTGAACCCACAACTTTGGCATTGCAAGCACCATGCTCTACCAACTGAGCCACACAGGACCACAGTGGATTGCAGTGTTTCTGCTTTTTTTTTTCTTTGAAGGGCGAGCTATTACCAGCTTTACTGTTGATGATTAATGACAGCAACCCAAGGGCAACAGTGTACTGTGCACAGATCCATTTGTTCTAACAAACAAACACTCAATAAATGTGTGGGTGTGCAGTGCAGAGAGGTGTAAAGGTTTTATATATAGTATTTTTATTATAGAGATATATATTGATGTCACATTCCTTCCCTCTACAGTGTTCTTCTTGACGAGGAGGGCCACATCAAGATTACAGGTGATTAAAGAAAGTAGTAGTAGTCCATTGGAATAGATACAGCAGTAATCTCTCTTCTACACTGAATCCATTAAGCCCATTGCTGGTGGCTATTTTCCTCTGTCTTTAACATCAATCCCTTGGTGTTTTAGATTTCGGGCTGAGTAAAGAGGCAACAGACCATGACAAGCGAGCATACTCCTTCTGTGGGACGATAGAGTATATGGCCCCTGAGGTGGTCAACAGAAGAGGACATACACAGAGTGCTGACTGGTGGTCGTTTGGCGTCTTAATGGTATGGACCTCCCTCTCTTTACACACGTACTATAGCTATTGGTTAGCTGCAATGTTGCTGCAACGCAATCTCCAGGGCGGAGTTTCATATAGTGAAATGATGTTTGCATCCAGTATGTGGACGTAGCACTACGCATACAGCCTGTACGACCAGGTACCACTACACATGGCACTTACAGATGTGGGATCTTAATTTGATCACTCTGTTGTCGCAGATAATTTTCCTAAGCAGCAGGAACTGTAAACTTTTAGTGTATTCAAGGTTTTAAAAGGCTTCTAAAGTTTGTAATTTCCACTTTAAAATGTCAGACTTGATTTGCAATAATGAAAAATGTATCAAGCCTTTAAAAATGTCCATTAATTATAATCGCACTCAAAACCATAAAAAGGAATAAATGTGCCTTTTTTTCTTTATTAGCACTTTGCACTTTCACTTTTTGTATTCTATTGAGCATGGATTAAATTAATTATATTATTTTTGCATCTCGGCCTCCTTGGGTTATTCCTTTTCATGGTTTTGAGTGCGAGTACTTTTTGAACTCTACAGATATTTTCTCTCCCACGCACCAGCCACCTTTCATTCTAGCCTGTGCGCAAACCCTCATACTTGCTTTCTACTTCTCATAAATTATAATCCACATAATTCACATTTCCTGTTGCTGCAGGAATATTTTCCTGCTGCGGGAAACTGGTCAAATTAAGATAGTACATCTATATTCTCCAAATGTGGATCTTAATGCATCACACAAAAGAGACATCATAATGACGATGCATACTGGTATGGTACTAGTCCACTACTACTGTGTCATACACTAGCTAGACTCATCTCTTCAATCCTCTTAAATTAAAAGATGAATGCTGATTGAATAGAGCCAGACATGTTATAATCAGGTTGCTGCTCACTAATCCACACATCCACACATTACTCCACTACCTGGAGCCGCAGTCAAATGACCAAATCGCCCTCTAGTGGCCTCATGGGTGGAATGTTATTAATCCTTTTCATAATTTCATAATTAATAAACGTTTCTTTTTTTTAACAGATGAAAATCCGGTGTTTCTATGTCAAACGGTTTTGTTATATTTCAGTCTTCTGTGATGAATATTAAATGTAATATAAAGTGTAATATTGGGATGCAAACTCAAACTTGAATACATTTCAACTCTATATCTGACATGGTACATGTGTATACTTCTGTTTCAAAGTAGATTTGTTTAAGACTATCAAGAAACACTCTGTGTGACCCTGATTTAGCCAACTTCAGTAAAAGGCTAACTAACAAGGAACTGCCTCTAGTTCTCCTCTTCCTCTAAAGAACAAGGGACTGCCTCTAGTTCTCCACTTCCTCTAAAGAACAAGTGACTTCCTCTAGTTCTCCACTTCCTCTAATGAACAAGGGACTGCCTCTAGTTATCCACTTCCTCTAAAGAACAAGGGACTGCCTGTAGTTCTCCACTTCCTCTAAGGAACAAGGGACTGCCTCTAGTTCTCCACTTCCTCTAAAGAACAAGGGACTGCCTCTAGTTCTCCACTTCCTCTAAAGAACAGGGGACTGCCTCTAGTTCTCCACTTCCTCTAATGAACAAGGGACTGCCTCTAGTTCTCCACTTCCTCTAAAGAAAAGGGGACTGCCTCTAGTTCTCCACTTCCTCTAAAGAACAAGGGACTGCCTCTAGTTCTCCACTTCCTCTAAAGAACAAGTGACTTCCTCTAGTTCTCCACTTCCTCTAAAGAACAATGGACTGACTCTAGTTCTCCACTTCCTCTAAAGAACAGGGGACTGTCTCTAGTTCTCCACTTCCTCTAATGAACAAGGGACTGCCTCTAGGTCTCCACTTCCTCTAAAGAACAAGGGACTGCCTCTAGTTCTCCACTTCCTCTAATGAACAAGGGACTGCTTCTAGTTCTCCACTTCCTCTAAAGAACAAGGGACTGACTCTAGTTCTCCACTTCCTCTAAAGAACAGGGGACTGTCTCTAGTTCTCCACTTCCTCTAATGAACAAGGGACTGCCTCTAGGTCTCCACTTCCTCTAAAGAACAAGGGACTGCCTGTAGTTCTCCACTTCCTGTAATGAACAAGGGACTGCCTCTAGTTCCTTTATATTTCCCTAATGGTTTCTTAGCTCAATACTTTAGTCTCACGTTAAAACCAGATCAATACAAACCCTGTCAAATGTATTTCTTTAGTGACAGAATTTGGGCCTAGTATTGATTCCGTGCTCTTTTTAAGGATCCTATTCTGGATTTTCTATTTCTTACCTTTGATATTAAACACTGCATTGTTGAGGAAGAGCTTGTAAGTAAGCATTTTGCTGGACTGTTTACACCTATTGAATCCTGTGTACGCAACAAACAAACTTTGATTTGATTTTATAACACAAGCTCTGCTCTCTACTAAAGAAACCCACCAGTCACTCTTACTGATATCACCTGGCTCTTCATCTGCAGTGCTAGAAGAAGAGCATGTGCAGTAGCTGGAAAATATTATTATCCTATATCATGCCATAGTATAGTGAGTTAGTCAGCCAAGATGTGTTACATAACTACCTGACTTGATATGCCAAACACAGAGTCCTTAAAGCAAACAGCAATTGTGAGTCATCTGTGACACTGCGGACCTGGGCAGCTCCTCAACTTCCCTCATTTCGTACAGCAATCATCAGGAAATGAAAAGTAATTGCACTGTAATGTTTTTTGTAACACTTGACGTACGAGAACCATATGAAAATATAAATAATGTAGACAGGAAAATCTAATGTCCTCTAGAGCAGTGAAGAGCTGGTTTATTTATGCAAATGAAATCTGAGTTGAGCTCAATTCAAACTGATAAGGGCACCCTGGCTGTGGGGGATTGTTTTCGTGGAATCAATCAATGATGTAGCAGAGCCACACAAACACACACACACATACACACACACACACACACACACACACACACACTCACAAACACAGCAAATTTACAGAATAAATAATTACTGTTTGTTTCAAGTATTGTCAGATGATTATATTGTCAGAAAGCATTGAGCCATCTAATGCTCAACACGTGAGCATGGCCACTTTAATTTGTATTCACACTCGCATACAGATGGAAGATCCTAATTTGACCTATATTGTCACAGCAAAATAATCCTGAATAATTTGAACGTTTAGTCCATAATGTTGTTTGATCGGTGGTTAGGCTATTAGCTGGCCAAAAGTAGGCTACTTGAAAAGTGCAATACTGTTAATATAACCGTGTGTTAGTGTGGGTTTTCAGTGAATTTATGTAAATCATTAAGCTCATCTGCATTTCCTGCCGTGCAGGAAAATTCTCAGCAACAAAAGAGCGATCAAATTCAGATCCTACATCAGTAGATTAAATGTTACGTAACGGGATACATAAGGACAGGACCTAGCATCAATGCAAACTTTTAAAGTCGAGTGCTATTGCACATTCATTTTAATGGTTGAAGAAATTGACAGGAAATGTGACCAGAGGGAAAGCTCTGTTGTTGAGAAAGTTTGCTAAAAGTGACATGACAATAGTTTGATTGTAGTATTTTCAGCATTTTCACAGCTGTCCTGTGTAGCTCAGTTGGTAGAGGATGGTGCTTGTAATGCCAGGGTTGTGGGTTCGATTCTCACGGTAGACTAGTATGAAAATGTATGCACTCACTATTGTAAGTCACTCTGGATAAGAGTGTCTGCTAAAATGTAGGTAGAAGCTGTCAAAATTGTGGTGAAATACTTTAGGTTGATTTGTAAAGAGACTGACATTGTTTATCTTTGATTTCAGTTTGAAATGCTGACAGGATCTCTACCATTTCAAGGCAAAGACCGCAAGGAAACAATGGCCCTGATACTAAAGTAAGACACTATACTGACAATGTCTACCCCAGGAAGAGTAGCTGCTGCCTTGGCAACAGCTAATGGGGATCCCTAATAAATACAAGACTATATATGAAATAATCGTTTTTTCTGTGAAATAACTCTTAGTTTGTTTCTGTTTTGTAGGGCGAAACTTGGCATGCCGCAATTCTTAAGCCCAGAGGTGCAAAGTCTAATACGAGCCCTCTTCAAAAGAAATCCTACCAATAGATTAGGTATGTAGTCCCACGGGGGGCCAGTATGAAAAAGTATGAAAAATGTATGCACTCATAAAAATGTATGCTCTGGATAAGAGCGTCTGCTAAATGACTGAAATGAAATGAAAATGTCAAGATCATTTTCACATGTTCCATTTTATTAATAAATTAGAAGACACATTTACAGCCATTTCTCATTTATTAAATGCGACACAGTAGACAGCATTGAAATCTGAATCTTAACTCACATTGAGGGTTTTCGGGATAGTGCAGGCTAGAAAGCACAGTTACTGCATTTTTCTCTTACCCGTCGGTGGAAGCTGGTTGGCCTGTGGTGGGATTGAATATAGCCATATGAATCACTTCCTCCATGATTTCCAAGGTGGAGAGTAATGTGACTGATACTTCTTCAAGCCGGAGTCATTCTTTATGTATGATTACGGGATATATTAGTCATAATTGACCTATAGCTGAGAGGTTTAATGCTTTATTACGTGTTATATGCATGAATATGAGCCTTTATAAGGCATTTATATGAGCCTTTATAAGGCATGGACTGTATATGAGCCTTTATAAGGCATGTGTTTGAGACTTTATAAGGCATGTACTGTATATGAGCCTTTATAAGGCATGGATATGAGCCTTTATAAGGCATGGACTGTATATGAGCCTTTATAAGGCATGTACTGTATATGAGCCTTTATAAGGCATGTACTGTGTATGAGCCTTTATAAGGCATGTATATGAGCCTTTATAAAACATGTGTATGAGCCTTTATAAGGCATGTATATGAGCCTTTATAAGGCATGTAATGTATATGAGCCTTTATAAGGCATGTAATGTATATGAGCCTTTATAAGGCATGTACTGTATATGAGCCTTTATAAGGCATGTGTTTGAGCCTTTATAAGGCATGAATATGAGCCTTTATAAGGCATGTAATGTATATGAGCCTTTATAAGGCATGTACTGTATATGATCCTTTATAAGGCATGCATATGAGCCTTTATAAGGCATGTAATGTATATGAGCCTTTATAAGGCATGTACTGTATATGAGTCTTTATAAGGCATGTATATGAGCCATTATAAGGCATGTACTGTATATGAGCCTTTATAAGGCATGTGTATGAGCCTTTATAAGGCATGTACTGTGTATGAGCCTTTATAAGGCATGTATATGAGTAATGTTAGTAAGTAAGCAATTTACAGCCCAGTGAAGCTAAAAATAGTATTCAATCTAAATGTTCTGGTGTATTTTACTGTTAGGTGCTGGACCAGATGGAGTCGAGGAGATTAAAAGGCATCATTTCTTTGGAAATATAGATTGGAATGTGAGTACAATGCTTTTCGTAACCTTTTCTAGAAATCATTAAAGGCAAAGATGACCATCCATTGCTTTTTTGATATGTCCTGAGGATTTCCTTTGGATTGTCATGCTTTCAGACAAGAAGTGAAGGCATTTTACCTCAGACTTTATACATGCTAAGTACAGAGGGAAGAAAACAAGATAATTTAAAGCTTTCTTCTTTCCATGAGGACAATTGTCTGTACAGCATTTGTGTTGAAACATCATATATTTTTACTCTCAGAAGTCACTGGCTTATTTCTCTTACTTTTTGGGGTTTTTGGTTGCCATACCAACAGATCAAGCAAAGAGACATACCAAATCACCATGGAGTAAATGTAGCTCAGATACTAAATGGAAAAATAAAAGTCAAATTTTTCCTTTCCCCCTCATGGTGAAACCACAGAAGCTTTACAGAAGAGAGGTCAAGCCTCCATTCAAACCAGCAGTGGGCAGGCCAGAAGACACCTTCCACTTTGACCCCGAATTCACCTCCCGCACACCAACAGGTGATTAGTAATTGTAGGTGAAGTAGTTCAGCCCGTTGACGTGTGTGTGTGTGTGATGTCGCCTCATAATTTCATTAATCATGATGTTATGTTTCCTTTCATGCTGATTGCTTCACTGTTATGCTGTTTACTCAAAATGATCATTTCTCCATGCATCTGGGTTCCACTCACACACTGACATCAATTTGCTATTAAATTACTGACAAATAACCTCCTCTTCTATATCCACATAAAGTACACTTCTATATCGACAAAGTCACCCAGCCACAATGATTATATCCTTAAATGAGTACAGTTACATGCACACAATAAAATAATAGTTTGACTTAAACGTTTGCAAGAAGAACGATTTTCCTAATAATCCTGTTTCCATGGACACATCTGAAATCAGACTTCCTTATGGGACTTAAATAAATGCAGAAAATCACCAATCAGAAAAAAACGTTCTACCACAGCGACCATGTTATTTTTCTGAAGCATATTTGATTTGGAGTTCGGACATATAAAGTTTGTATGTGAAAACTATAAGATGCGTACTTTCAGTTTTTCCGAAATTCACTTCACTCGCGCAGTGCAAAAGAAGGCAGCTCATGCTAACACACGGTCAGATCAAATACACTGCTACAGTATAACTCTGATTAAAGCATTTACACGTCCTAATCATTTGATAGATTGTTCAGAAAACCAGGTGTTTTAACCGGCGTATGCTTACTTCCCAGTGGCGGCTCCTGAAAAAATTCTCAGGGGGGGCAATTTTTCTGATGATTTAGGTGACCTACACACATTTTAAAAAAGATATGTCCAGCAACAACATGAAGACAGGGGCAGCATATAAGTCAATACTGATATACACATTACTTGCTTCAAAAAGGCCTCATGGTTGAATTGGAAATATGTGCACCTGAGCATAATTCACAACAAGCAAGCAGGAGCTTTTGATAGAGGCTACTGAAAACATTGATGCAAGTTATTGGTAATAAGAAATTTTTATAGACTTCCATATTCTGCCCTCTTGTATAGATTTGTGAAAATGAACAGTGATAGACATTTTGCCTGAAAACAGAATTTGAAAATAATTTCTAGAAAAGGTAAACACAGCTATCTGTATGGCTTTGTAAAAATGAACAACCATATTCTGGCCAATTGTATAGATTTGTAAATATGATGATGTCTCCTTTCATGCATACATTTTCAAATAAAGCTCTGCTTTGAGAAAGATCGAATGATATTGTTTAATCTTACCTTATGGCCTGCACACTGCTTGTGAAGCTGTCGAGGGCACGTTTGATGAAGACAGCATCGATGTCCTTCTTCTGTAGCTTCTGGTACAGAATGTCGACGTGGGGCATGATTTTGTGAAAAAGCCCCAGGAAAAAAATAAAATCTTCTTGCTATCTATGTACCTCAGCACAAGCACCAGCTGTGTCTGTGTAGAAACGTCCGTGGTCTCGTCAGCTTGGATAGCTACGAAGTTCGCCGACTTCACCTCCTCCACAATATGTTCCCTCATGACCGCTAGCATACACTCCAGTAGCTCGTTTTGAATGGTCTTTGATGTGCCCTTGAAAACTTTAGCATTTTTAAGATGGTCATCAAACATCTCATCTAATTGTGCCACAAAGTTGACAAGTCCAAGAAAAATACCAGGGTTGGTGGAGCCCTCAGTTTCATCTTTGCCTCGCAAAGCTAACTCAAACACTCCGCAAAACTTCACACACTGGATTAGCCGGCTGAGGATGTGGCGGTTCTTGCTAACCTCATCGTTGTGGCAGTAGTACGTGAATTGATTGACGCTGCTACCCGCTCTTTTCTTAGTTACGTTCATGGTTATGTTACGTATGACGAAAGCGCGTAAGTGCAAGCCCTCCCGGAACCCATAGAGATTGTAATGAAAGCTCTGATATTTGAAAAAAAAAAGATTTTACATCAGAGGCTATGAGAGACTTCTGGGCGATTTTCAACCTGACTGAAATTGCCCCAAAACTGGCGGGGCCATTTGAAGCACGACTTTAGCCTGATTGGACATTTAGTGGCAGATCAGACGTCTAGATTAGAACACTGATAACTACTGTTGCCGTGATATAATTGATTAGAAAAAAAATCCCTTCCTTTTCCCGTTTGGCAGTGCGTCGCCCATATCGCCCTAATGTACACACCGCCCCTGTTACTTCCATTATGACCTTACGCCCATTAAGATAAACAGAGTAAGGTGTTTACATGACTAATGGCATATTCGGCCTACTGCCATTATCAGTTTAATATCTAATTATTAGTGTGCGTGTAAACATACTCAATGAATCATAGTCCATGTGCAAAGGAAATTTGGTACAAAAGTACCAATATTTAGCCTCCTATATCAGCTGCTAGTGTGCAAAGTAAGAGATGGGCAGTTGGCTGTCGACAACACCCTTTAGGCCACATCTGTACGCTACAATGGGACTGCCCTTCTCAAAAGTAAATTCATGATAAATGACATTCAATCAACTGATGTATTTCCAGTTGCCAATATGTCCTAGTTCCCAGGGCTGTCCCCTTCTTCCATCAGACAGTAAGGGTTGTAACAGGTTCTGTACCGTCTGTCACCTTCTGCCATCAGACAGTAGGGGTTGTAACAGGTTCTGTACCGTCTGTCACCTTCTGCCATCAGACTCGCCTGGCATCCCTCCCAGTGACAACACACACCAGCTCTTCAGAGGGTTCAGCTTCGTGGCCACTAATCTGGACCAGGACCAGTCCATTGCTGAAATACAGCAGAACTCAACTGTCAACCCTATTGTACAAGTGAGTATGCTAGAGGGAGAGGACTAATCAACTCAGGTATACAGCTCCTCCATCAACCATATAAACTTATTAAATACTCAAAGGAATATTTGAAACAATCAAAAATATCTATAGTTTTTAGAGAATATGACGTCCTTCAGGCAATTGTCTTTATATATATATTCCATTTTCCATGAATTAAATGTAACCACCAGATGGACGTTGGTGTCTCTATAGTTGTAGCGGGTGATTTGGACAGAGTCAGGCGCAGGAGGTGTAAATCACAGAATAATGGTTTATTCGGCCAATACAGCGGTTCGCAGCAATGCGTAAAACAACTACAGTGTGACTTAACGGCGCACTGGGAAAAACAAAACACACGGGTGAATATCCTGGCGATAAAGTACATAATGCTCCACCGAGCTATCGACACCTCCACATAGAAACAATCACACACAAAGACATGGGGGCAGAGGGAATACTGGGGGCAGAGGGACTGATGAGGGGATATGAACCAGGTGTGTGTAAAAACAAGACAAAACAAATGGAATGATGAGAAGAGGAGTGGCAGTGGCTAGAAAGCCGGTGACGGCGAATGCCGAAGCCTGCCCAAACAAGGAGAGGAGGCAGCTTCGGAGGAAGTCGTGACAGTACCCCCCCCCTTGATGCGCAGCTCCAGCAGCGCGCCGACACCGGCCTCGGGGACGGCCAGGAGGACGCAGAGCAGGGCGATCCGGATGGCGACGGTGGAAATCCCGCAACAGGGAGGGATCGAGGACATCCTTCACCGGGACCCTGCACCGCTCCTGCGGACCGTACCCCTCCTACTCCACGAGGTACTGAAGGACCCCCACCCGACGCCTCGAATCCAGGATGAAACGGACGGAGTACGCCGGGGCCCCCTCGATGTCCAGAGGGGGCGGAGAGACCTCCCGCACCTCAGACTCCTGGAGCGGACCAGCCACCACCGGCCTGAGGAGAGACCTGTGAAACGAGGGGTTAATACGGTAATAAGGAGGGAGTAGCAACCTATACGTAACCTTGTTTACTCTCCTCAGGACTTTGAACGGCCCCACAAACCGTGGGCTCAGCTTCCGGCAGGGCATGCGGAGGGGCAGGTTCCGGGTCGAGAGCCAGACCCGATCACCCGGTACAAAGACCGGGGCCTCACTGCGGTGGCGGTCAGCGTTGGCCTTCTGGCGACGCACGGTGCGCTGGAGGTGGACGTGGGCAGTGTTCCACGTCTCCTCTGCTCGCCGAAACCAGTCGTCCACCGCAGGAGCTTCGGTCTGGCTCTGATACCACGGTGCCAGGACCGGCTGATAACCTAAAACACATTGAAATGGTGACAGGTTAGTGGAGGAGTGGTGGAGAGAGTTCTGTGCATATTCGGCCCATGGCAAGAACACCGACCACTCCCCCGGCCGGTCCTGGCAGTAGGACTGCAGGAACCTACCCACATCCTGATTCACCCGTTCCACCTGCCCATTAGACTCGGGGTGAAACCCAGAGGTCAGGCTGACCGAGACCCCTAGACGTTCCATGAACGCCTTCCAGACCCTGGACGTAAACTGGGTACCCCGGTCAGACACTATGTCCTCTGGCACCCCGTAGTGCCGGAAGACGTGAGTAAACAGGGCTTCCGCAGTTTGCAGGGCTGTGGGGAGACTGGGCAGAGGAAGGAGGCGGCAGGCGGCAGGCTTTAGAGAAGCGGTCCACAACAACCAGGATGGTGGTGTTACCCTGAGAGAGGGGAAGATCAGTTAGGAAATCAATGGATAAGTGGGACCATGGCCATTGTGGAACTGGTAAGGGATGTACAGTGGGGGAAAAAGGTATTTAGTCAGCCACCAATTGTGCAAGTTATCCCACTTAAAAAGATGAGAGAGGCCTGTAATTTTCATCATAGGTACACGTCAACTATGACAGACAAAACGAGAAAAAATAATCCCGAAAATCACATTGTAGGATTTTTTATGAATTTATTTGCAAATTATGGTGGAAAATAAGTATTTGGTCAATAACAAAAGTTTCTCAATACTTTGTTGTATACCCTTTGTTGGCAATGACACAGGTCAAACTTTTTCTGTAAGTCTTCACAAGGTTTTCACACACTGTTGCTGGTATTTTGGCCCATTCCTCCATGCAGATCTCCTCTAGAGCAGTGATGTTTTGGGGCTGTCGCTGGGCAACACGGACTTTCAACTCCCTCCAAAGATTTTCGATGGGGTTGAGATCTGGAGACTGGCTAGGCCACTCCAGGACCTTGAAATGCTTCTTACGAAGCCACTCCTTCGTTGCCCGGGCGGTGTGTTTGGGATCATTGTCATGCTGAAAGACCCAGCCACGTTTCATCTTCAATGCCCTTGCTGATGGAAGGAAGTTTTCACTCAAAATATCACGATACATGGCCCCATTCATTCTTTCCTTTACACGGATCAGTCGTCCTGGTCCCTTTGCAGAAAAACAGCCCCAAAGCATGATGTTTCCACCCCCATGCTTCACAGTAGGTATGGTGTTCTTTGGATGCAACTCAGCATTCTTTGTCCTCCAAACACGACGAGTTGAGTTTTTACCAAAAAGTTCTATTTTGGTTTCATCTGACCATATGACATTCTCCCAATCCTCTTCTGGATCATCCAAATGCACTCTAGCAAACTTCAGACGGGCCTGGACATGTACTGGCTTAAGCAGGGGGACACGTCTGGCACTGCAGGATTTGAGTCCCTGGCGGCGTAGTGTGTTACTGATGGTAGGCTTTGTTACTTTGGTCCCAGCTCTCTGCAGGTCATTCACTAGGTCCCCCCGTGTGGTTCTGGGATTTTTGCTCACCGTTTTTGTGATTATTTTGACCCCACAGGGTGAGATCTTGCGTGGAGCCCCAGATCGAGGGAGATTATCAGTGGTCTTGTATGTCTTCCATTTCCTAATAATTGCTCCCACAGTTGATTTCTTCAAACCAAGCTGCTTACCTATTGCAGATTCAGTCTTCCCAGCCTGGTGCAGGTCTACAATTTTGTTTCTGGTGTCCTTTGACAGCTCTTTGGTCTTGGCCATAGTGGAGTTTGGAGTGTGACTGTTTGAGGTTGTGGACAGGTGTCTTTTATACTGATAACAAGTTCAAACAGGTGCCATTAATATAGTTAACGAGTGGAGGACAGAGGAGCCTCTTAAAGAAGAAGTTACAGGTCTGTGAGAGCCAGAAATCTTGCTTGTTTGTAGGTGACCAAATACTTATTTTCCACCATAATTTGCAAATAAATTCATTAAAAATCCTACAATGTGATTTTCTGGAGAAAAAAAATCTCAATTTGTCTGTCATAGTTGACGTGTACATATGATGAAAATTACAGGCCTCTCTCATCTTTTTAAGTGGGAGAACTTGCACAATTGGTGGCTGACTAAATACTTTTTTCCCCCACTGTAACTTACCCGCTGGAAGGTGCCTATGTGCCTTACTCTGGGCACACACCGAGCAGGAGGAGACATACACCCTCACGTCCTTAGCCAAGGTAGGCCACCAGTACTTCCCGGTCAGGCAGCGCACTGTACGGCCAATACCTGGGTGCCAGAGGAGGGGGACATGTGTGCCCAATAGATAAGACGATCACGGACATTAGACGGCACGTACCAAAGCCCAGCGGGGCACTGAGGTGGAGATGGCTCTGTGCTTAACGCTACCTCGGACGCATCTACCTCCACTACGAATGGCAATGATGGATCGGGATGGGCCAGTACCGGGGCTGAGGTGAACAGAGCCATCAGGTTACTGAAAGCCCTGTCAGCCTCAGCAGACCACCGGAGCCGGGACGGCCCACCATTCAACAGAGAGGTGATGGGAGCTGCGACCTTGCCAAAGCCCCAGATAAACCTCTGATAGTAATTGGCAAAGCCAATGAAGCGCTGTACCTCCTTTACCGTGGTTGGAGTCGGCCTATTACGCACGGCTGAAATGCGGTCTCCCTCCATCTCCACACCTGAGGTGGTGATGTGGTATCCGAGGAAGGAGACGGATTGTTGGAAGAACAGACACTTTTCAGCCTTGGCATACAGGTCATGCGCCAACAGTCGGCCCAGCACTCTGCAAACCAGGGACACATGCTCGGCGTGCGTAGAGGACTACAACAGGATGTCATTGATGTAGACCACCACACCGCGACCAAGCATGTCCCGAAACACCTCGTTCACAAAGGACTTGAAGACTGATGGAGCATTCATCAAACCGTAGGGCATCACCAGGTATTCGTAATGCCCCGTGGTTGTGCTAAATGCTGTCTTCCACTCGTCCCCTTCCCGGACACACACCAGGTTGTACACACTCCTGAGATCTAATTTCATGAAGAAGCGCGCCCCATGCATTGATTCGATAACAGAGGAAATGAAGGGTAGAGGATAACTATAGTGAATGGTAATCAATGCAAGGGCGCAGACCCCCGACTTTCTTCTTCACAAAAAATTAACTAGAGGAGGCGGGTGAAGTGGAGGGACGTATAACCCTTGACGCAGGGACTCGGAGACGTATGTTTCCATAGCCTCCGTTTCCGCCTGCGACAGGGGATATACATGACTCCTGGGCAGCACAGCGTCTAACCGGAGGTTTATCGAGCAATCCCCTGCCCGATGGGGTGGTAATTTGGTCACCTTCATTTTCGAAAACGCGTGCGCCAAATCGAGGTATCCGGGGGGAATGCGCACAGTGGAGGTATTGTCTGGACTTTCCACCGTGGTCGCACCAACGGAAACAGCTTGACACCTACCCTGACACTCTCGCGACCACCCTGTGAGAGCCCTCTGTGGCCAGGAAAAGGTGGGGTCATGTAGTGCTAGCCAGGGAAGGACCAACACAACAGGGAAATCAGGGGACTCAATAATGTGAAACGTGATTTGCTCATTATGGGTCTCCTGCGTAATCCTAGTGACTGGTGCTGTAACCTCCCTAACAAAACCTGACCCTAATGGTCGATTGTCAAGTGCTTTGATGGGTAATGGAATAGACAGGGGAACCAATGGAATACATAGACTAAGAGCTAAAGACCTGTCCATAAAGTTCCCAGCTGCACCTGAATCTACCAGCGCCTTACACTGGGGAACTACCGTGTAATCAGGGAAGTTAACATGGATGGTGAAATGTGCAGCAGAGGGCTCTGAACAAGTGTGGGTTTGCACTACCTGGGGTGACGCGAGAGTGCCCTGCCTGCCGCCTCCAGAACCAGAAGAACTCTGACGACAGCGTGCAGCAGAATGTCCTCTCTTGCCACAAGAGTGACACTGGATCTGTCGTCCTCCGTTCTCCCGGAACGCTGCGCCATCCAGCTCCATCGGAACGTGATCCGGGTTGAAGGGGGGTGAAACGGGCAGGCCCCTTCCAGGACGTCCTCTCGAAGCCAGCAGGTTGTCCAACCGGATGGCCATGTCCACCAGTTGGTTGAAAGTCAACGTGGTATCCCGGCAGGCTAGCGCTGGGTGCTGGTGTCTGGGTGGCTGGATCTGGTCGCTCAACTGGTTCTGCAGGATCGGGTCCTCTCCTCTCCAGGCGCTGGACGACCTGCAGAACCCGATCCATCGTTTCGCCCAAGCTGGCTAACATGTTGGAATGCTCCCGGAACCGCTCAATGACTCCAGGCATATTCCCCGCTCCTGCTGACTCCATGCTGTTGGGTGTGTGATTCTGTAGCGGGTGATTTGGACGGAGTCAGGCACAGGAGGTGTAAATCACAGAATAATGGTTTATTCGGCCAATACAGCGGTTCGCAGCAATGCGTAAAACAACTACAGTGCGACTTAACGGCGCAATGGAGAAAAAAAAACACACGGGTGAATATCCCGGCGATAAAGTACATAATGCTCCACCGAGCTATCGAGACCTCCACATGGAAACAATCACACACAAAGACATGGGGGGCAGAGGGAATACTTATACAGGGACTGATGAGGGGATATGAACCAGGTGTGTGTAAAAACAAGACAAAACAAATGGAATGATGAGAAGAGGAGTAGCAGTGGCTAGAAGGCCGGTGACGACGAACGCCGAAGCCTGCCGGAACAAGGAGAGGAGGCAGCTTCGGAGGGAGTCGTGACAATTGTCTCAACTTCAAGGGGAATATCAATCCTTGTTTTCAGTATGATATCAGGAAGGAACCTCAAGGGGATGTCATGGCATTACATCAGAATACATTGGATTAACTACTTTTGATACTGTATTCAGAAAGGTTTGAGTAAAGGAAGTAAAAGCCTATCAAACATCAAAACAACTCATATTCAATGGTCATTTCTGATTATTTGCTTTATGTATATAATTCCTATAAATTCGATACCTTTTTTTTTGCTTCAAGGAGATAAGATTGTAGCCCAACTGTTCTAGCTAACAAGCTGCCACTCCAGAGACCTCTTTCCTATGGACTGTATGCGTATGGTGCTGTTACTGATATAACTATCAGCTTACCTATAGTGCAGCCCCATCATCGGAGGAATTTGTCTTTTGATGAATTCAATGTATTTTATGTGAACACATGACGGTGGTGAGATCGAGGTGATCCTTATGGTCTTCTGTTTTAACCATCTTAGCCATTGCTCCAGAGAAGCCCTCTCGTGTGTCCTGCAGTGCACAACAACAGACCCACTCACATGAATAACAGCATAACTGATTCTACCAGATGGTTCATACCTGAGTGAGAAAGTCACTCACCAGAGAGGCCTCCCAGTGCCCTCAGCCCTCAGCAAAGCATATTGATTTGTGGGAGCACATAGTTCCCTTGATGACATCATGGCCATGTGTGCTCTGCCGTGGCAACGCTCTGGGAACATTTTGATCCTCTGCAGAGATCCACTGTGGTTTTTCCATTGTATTGAACAAGTGAGGTTAGAAGCTGCTGCAATGTGGATGAATATGTGTGAGCCAACGTCTCTCATAGAACACAATAGACTAGCATGGAATGTACTGCAGACCACAAGGTGAATGTATTAAACCAAGATAGACTATTAATGTAGTAATGTATTAAACCAAGATAGATTATGAATGTAGTGATGTATTAAACCAAGATTAGATTATTAATGTAATGATGTGTTAAACCAAGATAGATTATGAATGTAGTGATGTATTAAACCAATATAGATTATTAATGTAGTGATGTGTTAAACCAAGATAGATTATTAATGTAATGATGTGTTAAACCAAGATACTTACTGTAGTGCAGTTCACCTTTCTTGCTCTCATTTGTGATTTGACATACAGCCATGAAGGAAGAACACTTCCTAAATAGATACATCACAAGAGAAAGGAGAAATGCGACCAAAGTGCACTCGTACAGAAACGCTGTTCACCTAGAATGTTCTTCAAGGACCATTCTTACCAGGGGAATAATTTGATAGCTATGGTAGATCTGTTTTGAAAACCAGTGTGCTGCGTTTTGCATATGAAATAGGCTTCCCCTGGATATGTCTGAGGATTATAGAAGGACTGATGGATTCCCTAGTCTGCCAGAGTGGGATTATAACATGAGCAAAGAGTAAGGAAGTCTGATGACAAGCTTACTGGAGCATGATTATGACCAAAAGCTTTTTATGTAAAATATGCTTAAACGTATTTTTGTGATGGCTGGGCATGTTTGTCATTTCAGCAACTTCATGGGACCAACATCCATTTCACTGATGGGTATGAGGTAAAGGAGGAGGTGGGCTTGGGGGCGTACTCCGTCTGCAAACGCTGCATCCACAAAATCACCAGTGTTGAATATGCTGTCAAAGTAAGTCAACCGTATGGGTCGTTTTTTTCAAGGGGAATATTTATGTATAGATACTTTATAATTCTTAGAGAGGGAAATTATTTTCACGGCCCGTCAGTTACAAGAAACAGCACCATACACAACAAGGGGACGTTATGATCAGTACAAGGATTCCAAAATGATGTATGGTCTTTAGTTATTGTATCCTTGGGATATACTGTATGTAGGCTACACATTGCACTTCCACAACTATAAGCCTTTCAACTATAATATAGTCTCCCTTAGGATGATTCACGCAGCGACAATGATTCTGTATTTTGTGCAGACGATGCTCTGAGTCACACATTTTATCATGAAGGTACCAAGCAGTTGTAATTTAACAGGGGGTGTGTCTCTTTCAGATCATCGACAGAGTTAAGAAAGATCCATCTGAGGAAATTGAGATTCTGTTGAGATACGGGCAGCATCCAAACATCATCACGCTGAAGGATGTACGTCATCATTCAATGACTCCCATACACATGCACATGCTGAAAGCCCTTCATAAGGGCAGAGAACCTTGCGAGTTTGCATACCTACGGAAAAATGTGCCCTGCAAACTTAATTAAGTTTTCACTGACCATATTTCATTTGATCTTCTATGTCCATAATATCTTTATTTGATTTTTACTGGCCACTGTTCGTTGGCTGTGAGGACTAGACTAATGTAGTCTTTGGTTCATAAATAACTCCACATCGTGTTAAACTGTCTTTTTGGCCCCTAGGTCTATGACGATGGGAGGTATGTGTACCTTGTGATGGAGCTGATGCGAGGTGGAGAGCTGCTGGACAGAATCCTCCATCAGAAGTGTTTCTCTGAGCGAGAGGCCTCTGCTGTTCTCTGCACTATTACCAAGACAGTGGAGTACCTTCACTCACAGGGGGTCAGTACCATTCATATATTTATTTTTTTACGTCATTTAGCAGACGCTCTTATCCAGAGCGACTTACAGGTACAGTGGAGTACCTTCACTCACGGGGTCAGTACCATTCATATACAGGTACAGTGGAGTACCCTCACTCACATGGGGTCAGTATCATTCATATACAGGTAACTGCTAAAATAAAGGAAACACCAACATAAAGTGTCTTAATAGGGCGTTGGGCCACCACGAGCCAGAACAGCTTCAGTGCACCTTGGCATAGATTCTACTTGTGTCTGGAACTCAATTGGAGGGGTGCGACACCATTCTTCCAGGATAAATTCCATCAGTTTTGTTGATGGTGGTGGAAAACGCTGTCTCAGGCGCCGCTCCAGAATCTCCCGTAAGTGTTATATTGGGTTGAGATCTGGTGATTGAGACGCACACACCCTTTAAAACACAGATGATCCTTTGAGACCCCTATTTCAAAATCACTGAGATCTCTTCATTTTTCAAATCAAATCAAATGTTATTTGTCACATGCGGCGAATACAATGGGTGTAACTGAAATGCTTGTTTACGAGCCCTTCCCAATGATGCAGAGTTCAATAATAACACATAGAAAAACAGTAACACAAGGAATAACATAAAATACACAAGAATGGAGCGCCAGTACCAGATCAATGTGGAGCTATATACAGAGAGTACCAGTACCAGATCAATGTGGAGCTATATACAGAGAGTACCAGTATCAGATCAATGTGGAGCTATATACAGAGAGTACCAGTATCAGATCAATGTGGAGCTATATACAGAGAGTACCAGTACCAGATCAATGTGGAGCTCTATACAGGGAGTACCAGTACCAGATCAATGTGGAGCTATATACAGAGAGTACCAGTACCAGATCAATGTGGAGCTATATACAGAGAGTACCAGTACCAGATCAATGTGGAGCTATATACAGGGAGTACCAGTATCAGATCAATGTGGAGCTATATACAGAGAGTACCAGTACCAGATCAATGTGGAGCTATATACAGAGAGTACCAGTACCATATCAATGTGGAGCTCTATACAGAGAGTATATAGGCAGGGTAAAGTGACTAGGTATCAGGATAGATAATAATAAGAGTAAAATAAAGAATTGAGTAGCAGCAGCAAATGATGAGTGTAAAGGTGTGTGTGCATGTGTGTTTTTTGTTGGTATGCGTGTCTATGTGAATGTGTGTGTGCATATGTAGTGTATCAAATAAAATAAAATTGTATTTGCCACATGCGCCGAATACAACAAGTGTAGACATTACAGTGAAATGCTTACTTACAAGCCCTTAACCAACAATGCATTTGTTTATTTATAACTTTTTTTTTTTGATAAAAAAATAATAAATTTTTTAAAAGATTTTAGTCATTTAGCAGACGCTCTTATCCAGAGTAACTTACAGTTAGTGAGTGCATACATTTTCATACGTGTTAAGTAAAAAAATAAAAGCAAATAACTAAAGAGCAGCAGTAAAATAAATAACAGTAGGGAGGCTATATACAGGGGGGTACCGGTGCAGAGTCAATGTGCGGGAGAACCGGCTAGTCGAGGTAATTGAGGTAATATGTACATGTGGGTAGAGTTAAAGTGACTATGCATAAATAATAAACAGAGTAGCAGCAGCGTAAAAGAGGGGGTGGGGGTGGGGGGGCAGTACAAATAGTCCGGGTAGCCATGATTAGCTGTTCAGGAGTCTTATGGCTTGGGGGCAGAAGCTGTTGAGAAGCCTTTTGGACCTAGACTTGGCGCTCCGGTACCGCTTGCCATGCGGTAGCAGAGAGAACACTGTATGACTAGGGTGGCTGGAGTCTTTGACAATTTTGAGGACCTTCCTCTGACACCGCCTGGTATACATGTTCTGGATGGCAGGAAGCTTGGCCCCAGTGATGTACTGGGCCATACGCACTACCCTCTGTAGTGCCTTGCGGTCGGACACCGAGCAGTTGCCATACCAGGCGGTGATGCAACCAGTCAGGATGCTCTCGATGGTGCAGCTGTAGAACCTTTTGAGGATCTGAGGACCCATGCCAAATCTTTTCAGTCTCCTGAGGGGGAAAAGGTTTTGTCGTGCCCTCTTTACGGCTGTCTTGGTGTGTTTGGACCATGATAGTTTGTTGGTGATGTGGACACCAAGGAACTTGAATCTCTCAATCTGTTCCACTACAGCCCCTGTTCCACTACAGAATGGGGTCGTGCTCAGTCCTCTTTTTTTTCCTGTAGTCCACAATCATCTCCTTTTTCTTGATCACGTTGAGGGAGAGGTTGTTATCCTGGCACCACATGGCCAGGTCTCTGACCTCCTCCCTATAGGCTGTCTCATCGTTGTCGGTGATCAGGCCTACCACTGTTGTGTCGTCAGCAAACTTAATGATGGTGTTGGAGTCGTGCCCGGCCATGCAGTCATGGGTGAACAGGGAGTACAGGAGGGGACTGAGCACGCACCCCTGAGGGGCCCCCGTGTTGAGGATCAGCGTGGCAGATGTGTTGTTGCCTACCCTTACCACCTGGGGGCGGCCCGTCAGGAAGTCCAGGATCCAGTTGCAGAGGGAGGTGTTTAGTCCCAGGATCGTTAGCTTAGTGATGAGCTTTGAGGGCGCTATGGTGTTGAACACTGAGCTGTAGTCAATGAACAGCATTCTCACGTAGGTGTTCCTCTTGTCCAGGTGGGAAAGGGCAGTGTGGAGTGCAATAGAGATTGCATCATCTGTGGATCTGTTGGGGCGGTATGCAAATTGGAGTGGGTCTAGGGTTTCTGGGATAATGCTGTTGATGTGAGCCATGACAAGCCTTTCAAAGCACTTCATGGCTACAGACATGAGTGCTACGGGTCGGTAGTTATTTAGGCAGGTTATCTTAGTGTTCTTGGGCACAGGGACTATGGTGGTCTGCTTGAAACATGTTGGTATTACAGACTCAGTCAGGGACATGTTGAAAATGTCAGTGAAGACACTTGCCAGTTGGTCAGCACATGCTTGGAGTATACGTCCTGGTAATCCGTCTGGCCCTGCGGCCTTGTGAATGTTGACCTGCTTAAAAGTCTTACTCACATCGGCTACGGAGAGCGTGATCACATAGTCATCCGGAACAGCTGGGGCTCTCATGCATGCTTCAGTGTTGCTTGCCTCGAAGCGAGCATAGAAGTGATTTAGCTCGTCTGGTAGGCTTGTGTCACTGGGCAGCTCGCGGCTGTGCTTCCCTTTGTAGTCTGTAATAGTTTTCAAGCCCTGCCACATCCGACGAGTGTCAGAGCCGGTGTAGTACGATTCAATCTTAGTCCGGTATTGACTCTTTGCCTGTTTGATGGTTCGTCGGAGGGCATAGCAGGATTTCTTATAAGCGTCTGGGTTTGAGTCCCGCTACTTGAAAGCGGCAGCTCTACACTTTAGCTCAGTGCGGATGTTGCTTGTAATCCTTGGCTTCTGGTTGGGGTATGTGAATGTGTGTGGGTTTTGTGTGAGAGTGTCAGTGTATGTGTGTGTGTGTGTGTGTGTGTGTGTGTGTGTGTGTGTGTGTGTGTGTGTGTGTGTGTGTGTGTGTGTGTGTGTGTGTGTGTGTGTGTGTATAGAGTCTTGTGAGTGTGCACAGAGTCAGTGCAAGATAGGGTGAATGCAGATCGTCCGGGTAACCATTTAATTAATTATTTAGCTGTCTTATACCTATTTGGCAGTCTTATGGCTTGGGGATAGAAGCTTGGAGCCAGTTGGTCCGAGAGCCGATGCTCCGGTACCGTTTGCCGGACTGTAGCTGAGTGAATAGTCTTCCTCTGGCCTTCCTTCCTCTTCTAGCCATGGTAACCAAAATAACAGGCAACTAGGCATTTTTTATACTTGACCCTAAGCATGATGGGATGTTAATTGATTAATTAAATCAGGAACCACACCTGTGTGGAACCACCTGCTTTCAATATACTTTGTATCCCTCGTTTTCTTTATTCTGGCAGTTACCTGTTTTCTTCTGGCAGTTACCTGTTTTATTCTGGCAGTTACCTGTTTTATTCTGGTAGTCTGGCAGTTACCTGTTTTATTCTGCCAGTCTGGCAGTTACCTGTTTTATTCTGGCAGTTACCTGTTTTATTCTGGCAGTTACCTGTTTTATTCTGGCAGTTAGAATAATAACTGTTTTATTCAGGCAGTTACCTGTTTTATTCTGGCAGTTACCTGTATGTGTCCAACTAAAATCGAAGTGAAAGGAGTAGCGCTCCTATGACATATTCCTATTGGCTCGTCTGTTTTGTTATAGGTGGTACATCGAGACCTGAAACCAAGCAACCTCCTCTATGTGGATGAAACGGGAGATCCTGAATCGATTCGAATATGTGATTTTGGGTTCGCCAAACAATTAAGGGCAGAAAACGGTCTCCTCATGACGCCGTGTTACACAGCAAACTTTGTGGCTCCAGAGGTAAGGAGACATTTGATCAGCTCTTATTTATTTCAAGTAGATCCCTATATTGTGATGTGACAAAGATTGTCCATGTCTTTCATAGGTCCTGAAGAAGCAAGGGTATGATGCTGCTTGTGACATCTGGAGTTTGGGGATCCTACTCTACACTATGCTCGCAGGGTAAGCCTAATTCACCGGTTTATTTAAACCTGGCAGGGTCAGCCTAATTCACTGGTTTATTTAAACCTGGCAGGGTCAGCCTAATTCACTGGTTTATTTAAACCTGGCTGGGTCAGCCTAATTCACTGGTTTATTTAAACCTGGCAGGGTCAGCCTAATTCACTGGTTTATTTAAACCTGGCAGGGTCAGCCTAATTCACTGGTTTATTTAAACCTGGCTGGGTCAGCCTAATTCACTGGTTTATTTAAACCTGGCTGGGTAAGCCTAATTCACTGGTTTATTTAAACCTGGCAGGGTCAGCCTAATTCACTGGTTTACTTAAACCTGTCAGGGTAAGCCTAATTCACCGGTTTATTTAAACCTGGCTGGGTAAGCCTAATTCACTGGTTTATTTAAACCTGGCAGGGTAAGCCTAATTCACTGGTTTATTTAAACCTGGCAGGGTAAGCCTAATTCACTGGTTTATTTAAACCTGGCAGGGTAAGCCTAATTCGCTGGTTTACTTAAACCTGGTAGGGTAAGCAGGGCCGGCAGATCTGGGCCGGCAGATAGCTTAGTGGTTAAGAGCGTTGTGCCAGTAACCGAAAGGTTGCTGGTTCTAATCCCCGAGCCGACTAGGTGAAAAGTCTGTCGATGTGCCCTTGAGCAAGGCACTTAACCCTAATTGCTCCTGTAAGTCGCTCTGGATAAGAGCGTCTGCTAAATGACTAAAATGTAAATGTAAGCTAAATTCACTGGTTTATTTAAACCTTGAAGGGTAAGACTAATTCACTGGTTTATTTAAACCTTGAAGGGTAAGACTAATTCACTGGTTTATTTAAACCTTAAGAAGACTGAACACTGAGCAGGGTCAGACCATTGATATCCCAATTTCCCTTTACCCTTGTTAAACATAGTGTAAGACCCAGGGGACTCAAAGTTCCTCTAAGTGACAGTTTACCTTTGCTAGAAACCTGGTTGAACCTGTTTCACAGTAACAAAAAATAACAATGAATTCCTGGTTGAACCTGTTTCACAGTAACAAAAAATAACAATGAATTCCTGGTTGAACCTGTTTCACAGTAACAAAAAAGAACAATGAATTATTGGGTGGAAATCGGTATAACATTTGCACTGTGCTACCTCTCCTGGCTACCACTGATTGAATGACTCATTTTTGGGACAGTGAGAGGGACAGTGGAGGACAGATTACTTTCTAAGCTGAGGTCGAGTCTGTGGTAGTCATTGTAATTGTACTCTTCACAATCCCAAATCTCTCAGGACCTGCCCTGACAATTTAATGTCCCAGCCTGTGGCTCAGGTTTAAAATCTCTAATAATACATTAGAAAAAAGCAGCATTCTTTCACTGGGCAAAAACTGGTTGAATTAACATTGTTTCCATGTCATTTCGAGCAAACAATTCAATGTGATGACGTTGAATCAACGTGGAAAACTGATTGTATTTGAAAACGTAAGGGAATTTTATCTTTTTTTCAACCAACTTTGAACCTAAATCCAATTATATGGTGAATTATTTTGTTGTTGACTTCACAATGAATTCACGTTAGTTGACAACTCAACCAAATGTAAATCAAAACTAGACGTTAAACTGACGTCTGTTCCCAGTGGGCGACTGTTTAGACGTCATTCTTCATATTACTTCTAAAAATAGCTCAGCCGAGGTCTTGGAGAATCGTACCTCACAAACACCTAGATACTAAGACCCCAAATTCAAACAAACCCACATACATAATTCTTACTGTGTAACAGTAAAGCACATTCAGTACTGTAGAGCAGGGAAGTTTGATTGAAAAGTGTTTGATTGTCCTGTCCTTCTTCACCCTTGTGCTTACAGCTTCACCCCTTTTGCCAACGGTCCTGATGACACCCCGGAGGAAATACTGGCTCGCATTGGTAGCGGAAAATATGCCCTCACCGGCGGAAACTGGAATACGGTTTCTGATGCTGCAAAGGTGTGGTTATTTGTCCTTCATTAATAGTACATCGCTGTTGATTTAATGATGAATAAATGCAGTTCACATCCAATTGTTTTACAATGAAGTCTGAAATGAAATCCCATCCACATTGGTTTAGCTGCAATGCTGCATTTCATACTGGTCCTAACTGGACTATTTCTCTATTGGGTTCCAATAGGACATAGTCACTAAGATGCTCCATGTGGATCCACACCAACGGCTGACGGCTCCCCAGGTCCTCAGACACCAGTGGATAGTCAACCGAGAAGAGCTGTCTCAGTGTCAGCTCATCAGACAGGATGTACAGCTTGTTAAGGTAAGGAGGAAAACCTGATGAAAAGCCCAAACCTGACATAGTGCCAATCTTTAGCCTGGTAAAACAGGCTGACCACATTGTTTCACCTCAGCCCAGCGGTTTAACTGGTTGACCAGGCTAGTCGATCTTTGTCACTAAGCAAATTATGTTAGCTAATTGTGATAGTTATTGTTAAGCATCACAAGCAACATTGTCTTCTAAAGCTCTCTGACTGATGAAAGGTCTCTCACAAAATGAATTTGTCCTCTGTAGAAGTGCCGTTGTCATTCTACTGCCACCCTGTGTACAGATCTACCATTACATGTAGAACTTTTGCATTCTTCTCTACGTCAGCAAAAGTCATTTGAAACCTGCTTAACGGTTCACATACTGTACCCGCTTTGGCCCCTTAATTATGCAGTTCTATATACTTTAAATAAGTGTTTTCTCTGTCACCCTAGGGAGCAATGGCTGCAACATACTTGGCTTTGAATCGTTCGCCTCTGGCCCCAAAGCTGGAGCCTGTGCAGTGTTCAAGTTTGGCCCAGAGAAGAGGAATGAAGAGACTCACATCCACTTGTTTATAGCACCCTCATAGATGATTCAGGGACAGCTTGAAAATGGGTCAAAGTGCAATGACTTTCATCAGACACTGGTTTAAGTTCCCGTCCAAAGAACCAGGAAGTCTACAGTAGTGAGAGGAAAAGGAGCCACTTGTCACAAGAAAAACAAAAATTGTAGAGAAGATACATCACATTGTTGCACTAAGACAGGAATCTTTACAGATTTTAGATGCACTCTAAACAAATGGTGGCATCAAAGACAAAGCAGAATGCTGTTCAAATGTTCTTAAATGTGTCATTGGTATTGAAGAAATGTAACGTTAATATATTTTATTCATTCATATTTGCCCTTTCCTTTAGGTGCCATCTGAAACTGTTTTTAATTGACACCTGTGTATTATGTAGAGTATGTTTAGAATTATATTGTCTAGGAGACCAAGTAATCTTATGCAACGTTGAGTTGACACTTTGTCATAAAGGCTGTAACAGAGAAGTCTAGAACAGCTTGTAGTTTATAACTACATGATACACATTTTACGAGATTTTATCAACATCAGACAGCATCTGTATTTTTCCCTGTGTCTGAAAATAAGCATGTTGGAATGTTACTTTTACTGTTCTACATTTGGGAGAGTAATTGCTGACAGATAAAAGTTCAGTTACAGCTGCTAAGGATACGTTGGTACATTTAAAAAAACTAACTGAAATAGCTGAATGAGTACAAAGAGTAAATGTCTGCATCAGTGGAGGCTGCTGAAGGAGGACGGCTCATAGTAATGGATGGAATGGAGTCAATGGAATGGTATCAACCACATGGAAACCATATTTGATACCACTCCATTGACTCCATTCCAGCCATTATTATGAGCCGTTGTCCCCTCAGCAGCCTCCACTGGTCTGCATCAGTCTTTAACTTTCAGGTTGATACATAAGGTTAGACACACTGTAGTGTACAATATTTATTTTCTGTATCTTACAGTTCAATATTATTTTGTTTATAAAATCTAGTGTGCATTATGTTGGATGCTTTTGATCGTTTTGGCAATTTCTAACATAATATTCTACTTGTTTTGTTTTCGGGAGGGGTACTGAAAACAGACCCATTATAAATTGTCAATGCAAGTTATATTTATTGTGTAAATGTGACTTATTTAAGTTATTTTATCAAACAAATATACTTATTGTTTCTACATTATCCATTATGTTGGTGTATTAATTTATGTTTATGTCCATTTATTTAATTTTAAATACATGACAGATTTAAGGGTTTTTTCCTGATCTGAAGTGTACTATGTGTTAGGTAAATTACTTTTTGGAGGGACGTATTTGTTGTAGTAGCGGATACATTGATATGCGTTTATTAGCATTACCTTGTTTTCTGTCTGTAAAATAACTTTTTTTGTTGTTGTTGCAAATATACCAACAGAGATTAATTTTAAAACATTATGTAACCAATATGAGTGGGTTGATTTAGTGTTCATAAAACACCTACAGTAGAATGCCACCTTGGATGCCACCTTGGATGCCTTTATGTTTATGATTTAGGTACAAGACAGGTGGTAAAGAAGCTGTGTGAAACAAACACCAGAAATCCCAACAGTGTTTTCAGTGTACCCACACATTAACATATTATAGAATTACAAGTACACAGGATTCAGGAATGGTTTATTATTCAATTTAAGCACACAATGGAGCTTTAGTTGCACCATAATATTAAGAATATGGGATAATATGACAAAATAGATTACATAGGATAAATACCACACACTTACCTTTAGAATATATTCATAATTTTTTGAATATATTCATAATTTTGACAGTACAACATGTAAAAAGCCTTAAAGCCTAATGCACAGTTAGCCTTAACAATTTCTGTTTTCACAAAGCTTCACTGAATAACTTCTAAAATACAATATTAAAGAGAGATCCCCATAGAATCACACAATAGATAACCTTGATCAATGCCTCTCCTTGTGCTGCTGTGGCTTGTATAGATCTGTATGCTGAAGGTACTTCTGAGAAGATAATTGATTCAAAGAGTCTCCAGCTCTGTGTTGTTCAGTCATCAAGCCCTCAAGTGAAGACACACTATTGTCTCTAAACCACTGTAAAGTAAGTAGCTAAAAAGTAACATTGTGAAACTAGTGTGCTGGTAGGACTGTATATACTGTATAGGTTACCTAACTATTTTATTTGTATTGGCAGTGCATGCCAAAACTTTACAAATAAATCAAGTGGGAAAGAACCTCTGTTGTGTTGATATTTTGTGATGATTGGCTCAGGCATACACACAGTGGCCCTTGTCAGCTTGTGGACAATTTGTGGTCCTGCATGGCAGAGTATTCACAATGCAAGGGTGACTTCCTCCCGGGGCTACCCATACAATAAATGTATGCAAACACTACTGTAAGTTGCTTAGGATAAAAGCATCTGCTAAATGTCATTATATCATTTATTATAGTAATATTATGGTCATTTTATTCAAGCTAGGCCTAATTGAATGCAATTTTGGTTTACCCTTGCTAGAAACCTGGTTGAACCTGTTTCACAGTAACAAAAAATAACAATACATTATTAGATCGGTAGAACATTTGCACTGCCACTGCCTGTTCACTCCGCTATCATCCAGAAGGCAAGGTCAGTACAGGTGCATCAAAGCTGGGACCAAGAATGAAAAACAGCTTCTATCTCAAGGCCATCTGTTAAGGACTGTTAAATAGCCATCACTAGCACATTAGAGGCTGCTGCTGCCTATTGAAATCACTGGCCACTTTAAGAAATGGAACACTAGTCACTTTGTTACCTACCTAAGGGTAGGTAACAACACATCTGCCACACTGATCCTCAACACGGGGGCCCCTCAGGGGTGCGTGCTAAGTCCCCTCCTGTACTCCCTGTTCACCCATGACTGCATGGCCATGCACGACTCCAACACCATCATTAAGTTTGCCGACGACACACAGTGGTAGGCCTGATCACCGACAACGATGAGACAGCCTATAGGGAGGAGGTCAGAGACCTGGCCGTGTGGTGCCAGGATAACAACCTCTCCCTCAACGTGACCAAGACAAAGGAGATGATTGTGGACTACAGGAAAAAAAAGAGGACTGAGCACGCCCCCATTCTCATCGACAGGGCTGTAGTGGAACAGGTTGAGAGCTTCAAGTTCCTTGGTGTCCACATCACCAATGAACTATCATGGTCCAAACACACCAAGACAAGTCGTGAAGAGGGCACGACAAAAGCCTATTCCCCCTCAGGAGACTGAAAAGATTTGGCATGGGTCCTCAGATCCTCAAAAAATTATACAGCTGCACCATCGAGAGCATCCTGACTGGTTGCATCACCGCCTGGTATGGCAACTGCTTGGCCTCCGACCGCAAGGCACTACAGAGGGTAGTGCGTACGGCCCGGTACATTACTGGGGCCAAGCTTCCTGCTATCCAGGACGTCTATACCAGGCGGTGTCAGAGGAAGGCCCTCAAAATTGTCAAAGACTCCAGCCACCCTAGTCATAGACTGTTCTCTCTGCTACCGCATGGCAAGCGGTACCGGAGTGCCAAGTCTAGGTCCAAAAGACTTCTCAACAGCTTCTACCCCCAAGCCATATGACTCCTGAACAGCTAATCATGGCTACCCAGACTATTTGCACTGCCCCCCCACCCCCACACCCCACCCCCACCCCCCACCCCATCTTTTTACGCTGCTGCTACTCTGTTACTTATTTATGCATAGTCACTTTAACTCTACCCACATGTACATATTACTTCAACTACCTCAACTAGCCGGTGCCCCCGCACATTGACTCTGCACCGGTACCCCCCTGTATATACAGTGGGGAAAAAAAGTATTTAGTCAGCCACCAATTGTGCAAGTTCTCCCACTTAAAAAGATGAGAGAGGCCTGTAATTCTCATCATAGGTACACGTCAATTATGACAGACAAAATTAGAAAAAAAAATCCAGAAAATCACATTGTAGGATTTTTTATGAATTTATTTGCAAATTATGGTGGAAAATAAGTATTTGGTCACCTACAAACAAGCAAGATTTCTGGCTCTCACAGACCTGTAACTTCTTCTTTAAGAGGCTCCTCTGTCCGCCACTCGTTACCTGTATTAATGGCACCTGTTTGAACTTGTTATCGGTATAAAATACACCTGTCCACATCCTCAAACAGTCACACTCCAAACTCCACTATGGCCAAGACCAAAGAGCTGTCAAAGGACACCAGAAACAAAATTGTAGACCTGCACCAGGCTGGGAAGACTGAATCTGCAATAGGTAAGCAGCTTGGTTTGAAGAAATCAACTGTGGGAGCAATTATTAGGAAATGGAAGACATACAAGACCACTGATAATCTCCCTCGATCTGGGGCTCCACGCAAGATCTCACCCCGTGGGGTCAAAATGATCACAAGAACGGTGAGCAAAAATCCCAGAACCACACGGGGGAACCTAGTGAATGACCTGCAGAGAGCTGGGACCGAAGTAACAAAGCCTACCATCAGTAAAACACTACGCCGCCAGGGACTCAAATCCTGCAGTGCTAGATGTGTCCCCCTGCTTAAGCCAGTACATGTCCAGGCCCATCTGAAGTTTGCTAGAGTGCATTTGGATGATCCAGAAGAGGATTGGGAGAATGTCATATGGTCAGATGAAACCAAAATATAACTTTTTGGTAAAAACTCAACTTGTCGTGTTTGGAGGACAAAGAATGATGAGTTGCATCCAAAGAACACCATACCTACTGTGAAGCATGGGGGTGGAAACATCATGCTTTGGGGCTGTTTTTCTGCAATGGGACCAGGACGACTGATCCGTGTAAAGGAAAGAATGAATGGGGCCATGTATCGTGAGATTTTGAGTGAAAACCTCCTTCCATCAGCAAGGGCATTGAAGATGAAACATGGCTGGGTCTTTCAGCATGACAATGATCCCAAACACACCGCCCGGGCAACGAAGGAGTGGCTTCGTAAGAAGCATTTCAAGGTCCTGGAGTGGCTTAGCCAGTCTCCAGATCTCAACCCCATAGAAAATCTTTGGAGGGAGTTGAAAGTCTGTGTTGCCCAGCGACAGCCCCAAAACATCACTGCTCTAGAGGAGATCTGCATGGAGGAATGGGCCAAAATACCAGCAACAGTGTGTGAAAACCTTGTGAAGACTTACAGAAAACGTTTGACATGTGTCATTGCCAACGAAGGGTATATAACAAAGTATTGAGAAACTTTTGTTATTGACCAAATACTTATTTTCCACCATAATTTGCAAATAAATTCATTAAAAATCCTACAATGTGATTTTCTGGATTTTTTTTCCTCATTTTGTCTGTCATAGTTGACATGTACCTATGATGCAAATTACAGGCCTCTCTCATCTTTTTAAGTGGGAGAACTTGCACAATTGGTAGCTGACTAAATACTTTTTTTCCCCACTGTATAGCCTCCCTACTGTTCTTTTATTTTAATTCTGCTCTTTTTTTCTCAACACTTTTTTGTTGTTGTTTTATTTTACTTTTTTATAAAAAATAAATGCACTGTAAGTAAGCATTTCACTGTAATGTCTGCACCTGTTGTATTCGGCGCATGTGGCCAATAAAATGTGATTTGATTTGATTTGATTTGATTTAATAATGTTTACAGTCACTTTAATATGTTTACATATCTTGCACTACTCATCTCATATGTATATACTGCATTCTATTCTATAATATTATACTGTATCTTAGTCCATGCCGCTCTGTCATTGCTTGTCCATATATGTATATTTTCTTAAATTCCATTCCTTACTAGATTTGTGTGTATTAGGTATATGTTGTGAAATTGTTGGATATTACTTGTTAGATATTACTGCACTGTCGGAGCTAGAAGCAAAAGTATTTCGCTACACCCGCTATAACATCTGCTAAACACGTGTATGTGACAAATACAATTTGATTTGATTTGATTTGACTGTGGTACCTCTCCTGTCTACCACTGATAGGACACATTTTGGGGGCGAGTGAGAGGGACAGTGGAGGACAGATTACTTTCTAAACTAAGGTCGAGTCTGTGGTAGTCATTGTAATTGTACTCTTCACAATCCCAAATCTCTCAGTACCTGCCCTGACAATGTAATGTCCCAGCCTGTGGCTCAGGTTTAAAATCTCTAATCAGGGCATTAGAAAAAAAAAAGCTGCGTTCTTTCACTGGGTAAAAATTGGTTTCCACGTCGTTTCAACCAAAACATAGATTGTGATGACGTTGAATCAACGTGGTAAACTGATTGGATTTGAAAACGTAAGAGAATTTCGTCCAATGACATTATGACATTTTGGTCAGTCTAGTCTAGTGCATTACTGTGTCCCGGTTCAACGTGTTTTAAAGGTGGAAAGTGTTTGAGCCAATAAGTGATGAATACAGGGTCACCTCCCTCTGAGAATTGTGGTGTAACCAGTTCAGCAGCTATTCTTGAGCAGGATGTGTAGTACCTACCAAGAGAGCCGAGTTGCTGATCCTGGATCAGTGGCACAATCTCAGAAAGTAGGGGCGGGTCATCACCATGAGGCCGGATATCGTGAGATTGCATAGCAACACCAATGAGAGGCGTCCTAACTGAGTAATTGCGACAGTGTCGTACAGATAATGTTTTGGTGAAGAACTGTGACCACTAGTGTCCTCTACGCTAAGCTGTATTTATTCAGTTTATACATTCCAATAGTTATAATTTCCTTTGCACTGCGAACCACCACAATCCGAAGCCATGGCAGGTACTTTGGCACGCAAAGCTGTTGACCATCTTAAAAGCAAGGAGTTCAGAGAGTATTTGATGAGGTAAGACACACTTGGAAGATCTGGAAGAGAGCTAGCTAACGAGATCAATTTTAATGTAGCGACTAGCAAGCAAGCTAGCTAACAGTAGACAGTTAACGTTAGCTAAATTAATTATCAAACAAAGCGAGCTAGCTAGTTGTAAATTCGCGTGCAAATCTGTAGCTAGTGTAACGTTACCACAGTCAACGGTTGTTTGTACATATGTTTCTAACGACGTGTCCGGCTTGAAGGACGTTTGATCTTGAATGTTGTTGCTATCACCGAAGCTAACTAGCTGTCAAACTATCCTGCTGATATGTTTCCGGTGATGTGAGCCCTGTGAGTATTATTAGTTAGCCCAGGCAGGCTGTGAAGTGTTGGTTGTTTTTCTTTAGGAATAGGCATATCCCTCTAACCAAAACTCATTTTGTGTTATGGCTGTCATCTTGGTGTCCTCATGGGAACTTTCAAAATAAGCACAGTAAGTACTCTCTGTTCATTGTGTAGGCTAGTTTTGTTTTTGTCTATTAAAATCACAGAATATTTCGGCTACATTGACCATTGCAGATATACTCGTCTATTAGGTAGTTGGTGAGACAGTATAATTGCTATGTCAGCTTGAATAAATATGACCCTTACATTAACCTTGTTGCTCTTTATATTCCTTGTTCCTTAAAATGTAGTTTTATACTTATATTCCAGCACTTCTGGGGACCTGTGGCCAACTGGGGTCTGCCAATTGCTGCCATCAGTGACATGAAGAAAAGCCCTGAGATTATCAGTGGAAGAATGACCTTTGGTGAGACACCGATACTGAAACATAGACACAACACAATGGCTAATGTTTAGCTATAGCCTAACATTAGGGACACGTTTCTGCCAGGGATTGATAGTCACTCTTGTTGAATAACTCCAGAGTCATTCCATTTCATTTCAGCAAGCCATGACACCCACCATCACAAATTGTTCTGAAATCATTTCTGTAGTTAGAAACTGATAAGATTAGCATACCTGCAACATTATTTTGTTGAAATGTAATTTGATCTCTGAACAAATGAAGCTAATAGGTTTGCACCCAAATTGACCCTTTTTTAAATTTATAGGATTCACATAACATTTAATAAATATAGTACCCAACATCTGATATAGACCAAACTTCATCCTACTATTGAGTAAGACTTAAGGAATACAATAAAATGGTTAGGGTTGCTTTTGATCATTTTATTTGATTCCAAATGATTGTCCAAATCAGATGTTAGGTACTATATTTATTGGAGATTATACGAATCCTATACAGTAATCCCTCGTTTATCGCGGGGGTTACGTTCCGAAAATGACCCGCGATAAGTGAAATCCGTGAAATAGAAAACTTTTTTTTTTTACAATTAGCAACTATTACATGTATACAAATACAGTGACTCACGTGTAGGCCGTTTCACTGCTCTTCAGACTGGGCCGCTGCATCCTGACTGCGCTCTGCAGTGTTCTCTTCTTCTGAAGCCCGCGGTGCAGGTGTGTTTGTTCGGGAGAAGAACATAGTGATAGGCAGCTGTTGTCGCTCTTTTTTCTTCTTTGCAAAAAGATCCTTGTACACCGACATGCCACCATCGATTACGTTGGAGAACTGTAATGAACGGCTCATCAAAGGGTCCCATTCCTCAGCTACTCGCTTAAGTTCAGTGGCCATTCGCACCATGGTTGCTAAGCGACCAAGCGTTAGTCCTTCCTCCTCATCTCTCGTGTCCTCTTCTCCCTCTTCTCTTTCATCGTCGCTTTGTGGCTTTGTCATTTACCTTCCCTTAGCATGTCCAGAAGTTTAACTTTATCTGAGATAGGTAGCATCTTCCGCCGTTTGGGCCCATCCGCAGGTGCTTTTGTCGGTCCAGGCCGTTTCGTCGACATTATGGGTTTAGGAGATGTTCGAAATTACAAGATAATTTGGCCAACTTAATGTAAATTTGCCAAGCTGTTTTATGTACGTACACATAACTGCACGAGACGACAAAATGATAGCACAATTCGTAGCATGTTTTGATACAAGAAGCGGGAGTGAGTTTTTAGCGAATCAGAATGCAGAGCACAATGCACCAAAAAAAAAAAAATGCATTATGAAAATCCGCGAAATAGCGAATCCGCGATAAGTGAACCGCGAAGTGGCGAGGGATCACTGTACATTTAAAAATGACTGATCATCTTCCAGCTTAATTTCTCTGAGATCAAATTATATTTCAATCCCCCCCAAAAAACAGGAATGCTAATCTTATCTGTTTGTAACTACAGAAACGATTTCAGCCCAATCTGAGATGGTGGGTGTCTCAATCCTGTTTCTTGTGCTTTTTGAGGTGGAATGACCCTTCATGCTTTGATAATGTAGAATTACAATAGTTTAACATTCTTCTTTGAACTTCATAATCCTTTCCTGAAGTCTGACACGATGCAAGAAAATGTTGGGTTTCCTGATAAGGTTGTCCTAAAGATATGGACGTTTCAAGTGGCTGTTAATTCCTTATAATTTATTTTGTGTTTTTTTTTGTGTTTTTCCCCCTGCAGCTTTGACTTGCTACTCCCTCCTGTTTATGAGGTTTGCATACAAAGTTCAGCCAAGGAATTGGCTCCTCTTCGGTTGCCACCTAACCAATGAGACCGCCCAGCTCATTCAAGGATCACGACTTATCAAATACAAGTAAGCTCACATTTCACTGTACTGATTTGCTAATTTCAGTGCAAAACTTGTTTTGGTTTGTACCCGCATTGCACTCTGGTTACAAAGCACCAAGCAACAACAACCTCAAAACAAACGTGATTTATTCACTGCTCAGATGGTGTCTCCTGTCAGTAACAACTTCTTTGGGGTTCTTTCTTTGGGTATAATAGACTGATATTTCAATGCCACAGCTTTGAAGCCCAAATATCTTTTAGGACTTTTCCATACAAGAATATGTTGAAATTTGACATCAAATTAACTGAGAATGTACAACATGGAAGCACAGTACTTCATAACATCATTTGTTTTATCCATATACATGATAACATCTTAACTTCAGTCTCTCCCATACTGTCTACACATAGATAATGAAACATTGTCACTGGTTATAATTTCATATGTCATTTAGACATAATGCTGTTCTACAGAACGTGTATCTCCAGTAATTCTGATGGATTTTTTTCCTTCTTTCCAGCATGGAGAAGAAGTCTTCTTAGTGATGGACAAATGCAGAATATATAGTTTCATTAGGAAATCAGCATAGTTTGACCCTATGGTTTTCAGGTGTATGGCCATTTTAATCTCATCATTGCATACCTATGTAAAACTATTCACTTAAAAATTGTTAATATAGATTCAACTGCTGTTGAAGATCACCATGCCTGTTTCTTCCGGTATATAAGGTCAATGAATAGATTAGTTCTGCATTATGTTTTTTACGCACAAACGAATGAAATGGATGGAGTCTAGTGAGGCCCTGTTACAGATGGGTGTCTTTTAAAGAGATGGTCTATAACACAAATATTTACTGTTTGGCATGTCCTCATTTTAATAAATATATTAGCTATACCAATAACACAATCATTATCAGAATGTACAGGCAATAAAAGTGGTACTCTGTTGTGTTGCCATGGTAGTGTTATTCCTGAAGATAATTAATAAACCCTTATCTATGTACCATAAATTGAACTTCCTCTTACACTGACCATAATGTATAATAAACTGTCTGATATCCTTGAAGTGGCTGATTTAACTTTTACCTTCATAAAGACTGATAACTCTAAAGCTGTGGTAGACCTTCACCCAAGAACTGCCAGATCCCTACATTTGTTTTTTAAAATTATATATATATTTTAATTTAAAGCGACTTTAATATTTTACTTCTAATGAAAAGTATACTTTTTTATTGTGACCCTGGACAAGCACACCTGATTTAACTTGTCAACTAATCATCAAGCCGTTGAATGAGATAATCCATCCACCTGACAGATGTGGCATATCAAGAAGCTGATTAAACAGCATGATCATTACACAGGTGCACCTTGTGCTGGGGAAAATAAAATGCCACTCTAAAATGTGCAGGTTTGTCACAACACAATGCCACAGATGTCTAAAGTTTTGAGGGAGTGTGCAATTGACATGCTGACTTCAGAAATGTCCACTAGAGCTGTTGCCAGAGAACTGAATGTTAATTTCTCTACCAACATCGTTTTAGAGAATTTGGCAGTACGTCCAACCGGCCTCACAATCGCATACCACGTGTATGGCGTTGTGTGGGCGAGCGGTTTGCTGATGTTAACCTTGAACAGTGCCCCATGGTGGCAGTGGGGTTATGGTATTGGCATGCATAAGCTACAGACAACGGACACGATTGCATTTTATCGATGGCAATTTGAATGCACAGAGTTCGCGGGACGAGATCCTGAGGCCCATTGTCGTGCCATTCATCCGCCGCCATCACCTCATGTTTCAGCATGATAATGCACGGCCCGTGTTGCAAGGATCTGTACACAATTCCTGTAAGCTGAAAATGTCCCAGTTCTGGCCTGCATACTCACCAGACAAGTCACCCATTGAGCATGTTTGGTATGTTCTGGATCGACGTGTACGACAGCGTGTTCCAGTTCCCGCCAATATCCAGCAACTTCGCACAGCCATTGAAGAGTGGGACAACATTCAACAGGCCACAGACAACAGCCTGATCAACTCTATGCGAAGGAGATGTCGCGCTGCATGAGGCAAATGGTGGTCAGACCAGATATTGATTTGTTTTCTGATCCAAACCCCCTACCGTTTAAAAAAAAAAAAAGGTATCTGTGACCAACAGATGCATATCTGTATTCCCAGTCATGTAAAATCCATAAATTAGGGTCTAGTACATTTATTTCAATTGATTGATTTCCTCATATGAACTGAAACACAGTAAAATCTTTACAATTGTTGCATGTTGCGTTTATTTTTGTTCAGTATAAAATAAATGGATTATTATTATCAACTCTTCCAGGAAGGCTGCATTCTGAATGACCTTGATGAAAGGCATCAGTGAACACGCTACTTTAGTGTAGATACTCATTCCGCAAGGCAATTAAATTGGCAAAACATCAGTATAGAGACAAAGTGGAGTCGCAATTCAACGGCTCAGACACGAGACGTATGTGGCAGGGTCTACAGACAATCACGGACTACAAAAGGAAAAGCAGCCACGTCGCCGACACCGACGTCTCGCTTCCAGACAATCTAAAAACCTTCTTCGCCCGCTTTGAGGATAACACAGTGCCACTGACGAGGCCCACTACCAAGGACCGTGGTCTCTCCTTCTCCATGGCCGACGTGATTAAGACATTTAAGCATGTTAACCCCCACAAGGCTGCCGGCCCAGACGGCATCCCTAGCCGCATCCTCAGAGCATGCGCAGACCAGCTGGCTGGTGTGTTTATGGACATATTCAATCTCTCCCTTTCCCAGTCTGCTGTTCCCACATGCTTCAAGATGGCCACAATTGTTCCTGTACCAGAGAAAGCAAAGGTAACTGAACTAAATGACTATCGCCCTGTAGCACTCACCTCTGTCATCATGAAGTGCTTTGAGAGACTAGTCAAGGATCATATCACCTCTACCTTACCTGTCACCCTAGACCCACTTCAATTTGCTTACCGCCCCAATAGATCCACAGACGATGCAATCGCCATCACACCGCACACTGCCCTGTCCCATCTGGACAAGAGGAATACAGTGCTATGAAAAAGTATTTGCCCCCTTTCTAATTTTCTCTACTTTTGCATATTTGTGATACAGAATGTTATCAGATCTTCAACCAAAACCTAATATTAGATAAAGGGAACATAGGTGAACAAATTACACTACAATTACATATTTATTTCATTTATTCATAAACAATGTCATGCAACACCCAATTCCCCTGTGTGAAAAAGTAATTGCCCCCTTATACTCAATAACTGGTTGTGCCACCTTTAGCTGCAATGACTCCAACCAAATGCTTCCTGTAGTTGTTGATCAGTCTATCACATCGCTGTGGAGCAATTTTGGCCCACTCTTCCATGCAGAACTGCTTTAACTCAGTGACGTGTGGGTTTTCAAGCATGAACTGCTCGTTTCAAGTCCTGCCACGACATCTCAATTGGGATTAGGTCTGGACTTTGACTAGGCCATTCCAAAACGTCCAATTTGTTGCTTTTTAGCAATTTTCATGTAGACTTGATTGTGTGTTTTGGATCATTGTCTTGCTGCATGACCCAGCTGCGCTTCAGCTTCAGCTCACAGACGGATGGTCTGACATTCTCCTGTAGAATTCTCGGATACAGAGCAGAATTCATGGTTCCTTCTATTAAGGCAAGTCGTCCAGGTCCTGAGGCAGCAAAGCATCCCCAAACCATCACACTACCACCACCATGCTTGACCTTTGGTATGATGTTCTTACTGTGGAATGCAGAGTTTGGTTTTCGCCAGGCATTACTGGAACCATGTCAAAGTCCAGACCTAATCCCAATTGAGATGTTGTGGCAGGACTTGAAAAGAGCAGTTCATGCTTGAAAACCCACACGTCACTGAGTTAAAGCAGTTCTGCATGGAAGAGTGGGCCAAAATTCCTCCACAGCGACGTGAGAGACTGATCAACAACTACAGGAAGCATTTGGTTGGAGTCATTGCAGCTAAAGGTGGCACAACCAGTTATTGAGTGTAAGGGGGCAATTACTTTTTCTCACAGGGGAATTGGGTGTTGCATAACTTTGTTTATGAAATAAATGAAATAAATATGTAATTGTTGTGTTATTTGTTCACTCATGTTCCCTTTATCTAATATTAGGTTTTGGTTGAAGATCTGATAACATTCAGTATCACAAATATGCAAAAGTAGAGAAAATTAGAAAGGGGGCAAATACTTTTTCATAGCACTGTACCCAGTGGCGGCTCCTGAAAAAATTCTCAGGAGGGGCAATTTTTCTGATGATTTAGGTGACCTACACACATTTAAAAAAAGATATGTCCAGCAACAACATGAAGACAGGGGCAGCATATAAGTCAATACCAGAAGCATTTATTGACTGATCTCAAAAGTGTTGGCTTACCAGGGTTGGTGGAGCCCTCAGTTTCATCTTTGCCTCGCAAAGCTAACTCAAACACTCCGCAAAACTTCACACACTGGATTAGCCGGCTGAGGATGTGGCGGTTCTTGCTAATGTCGTAGTAAATATATTTGTTATAGTGAATATGGAATATGATATGTTGAGTAAAATGTTGTGCTAAGATCTATTTAGGTCAGGAGCTGGTTATAAGTTCTGTTCCTATCCAATAACAATGGACAAAAGGGTCCTATCTTGTCAGCCTTGTCAGCAGGTGGCCAAGGACAACACCCACGCCATAGGCCTCTCAGTTCTTCCAACTCACGAGTTCTTGCTCTGAGGACACACACACACACAAACACACACACACACACACATCATCACTGTTAAACACACACACACACACACATCATCACTGTTAAACACACACACACACACACACACACACAAAAATCCCCTCTCTTAGGCTGAACATTTGAAGACAGAGAACCCGACTCAGAGCCAATGCAACAGTGACAGTAGCCTGGAGGTGACCTCGCCCAACTCATCAGGACCAATCAGAAGATCAGAACTACTAGATTGAACCTACTTCATTTATTGCATAAAATGTCTGCAC